AGAAACATTTTTTCTCTCTTGTTTCTTAATGACTCCTTCGGGTACACTTCAACAATTTGCAGTTTCAGCTCTCTTCAGCCACCTTCATGGTTCAGCTGGATAGTCACACTTTGAACATGGACACTTAAGAGAGGAAAGGGAAAGGGAAAGCCCCAAGGCAAAAGGAGTCTCCGGGATGGAAGACACATGCTGGTCTTCATATGTTTTGCCTTGGGAAGGAGGTAATTTATTTGGAATTTACTTGTTCATGCCTCTGCTGTTATGAGTCTCCATCATTCCAAAGAACAGCTGAGGAGACTAAAGCAAAGGTTTGGCTAGGCCTTCCTCCCACACTGTCCATCAGAACACATCCAGCTTTCTACTGTTTTCTATATACCAGAGCTTTATATCAGAATTAGAGTAGAAGGTTTCTCATTGGTTTATCTAGTCTTCAAGACCAAGACTGAAGAAAGTACAGGTCTATCTAAATGTTGCTGGTACAACTAACTACTTTATCATATATAATAATATCTTAGTGGGTTTTTTCCCCTGAACTAATGTGGGTAGAGAGAGTCTTTCTGGGAGGTGATCCAAGAAGGAATGAGGAGAATGAGACAGGGAAAGGAGAAAAACCACTAACAGGTGTGTCAATAGCTGATCACTGCTATGGACAACTGGTGTGCAATCTCTCAGAAAAACCATAAAGAACATGCCTCAGAATTGTCCCATGGAAGGGCAGGGGAGTGGGGACATCGATTTGCCAACGCAGTGCTCCATTGGCTAATGTATTGGTCACATGCATTCTTCCCAGCTGCACCTCTGTATGCCTGCATGTGCTGGGTGGCCTCCCTCAGTTGCAGAGAAAGTCAGGAAGCAGAAAAGCAGAGCCTACCTAAGGTGCAAACTTCAGTAGTCATAAAACTATCCACAAGGTGATCAATGGGCTGTGTGACCGAGCTCTGAGTGTGTGCTGTGAACAAGATGTTAGAATGAATCTCTTCCTGCTTGACTATACTGACTGGCAATGTGAAGAAGGTCAAAAGACTAAAAACAGTGCAACGGAGAATTTACAGTGGAAATTAAGGAGCCCCTTAATTCCTTTTTGGAGCTCCTATTCCACAGAGGGTTGAGAGAGAGCAACTGGAGGTGAGGGGAAGTCTCTTTGGAAATAACTGCTACTTTTCTGTGAGTCCCCATTCTTATCCATAAGATAACTGTTGTTCCCTCTGACAACAAGCTGAATAAAGGGGCTTCAAAGAGAACACTTGTGAAGTGTTAGAATGGTCCTGAAGATACAAATTTCCTATTCTCAGGAGCCTAAGAAAGACCTAAAACAGTCAAAACTGACTGTGGCTAGGCATTAGTGGATCATGCCTATCATTCTATCTACTTGGGAGGCTGAGACCTAGAGAGCTGGGTTCAAAGCCAGCTTAAGCAGAAAAGTCTGTGAGATTCCATCTTCAATTAACCGGCAAAAAGCCAGGCTGGAGGAATAGCTCAAGTAGTCAAGCAAGCCAAGAAAGTGTGAGGTGAGTTCAAGCCCCAGTACTGGCAAAAAGAAAACAAAAACAAACAAAAAACCCAAAAGACAAAACCCAAAAAATCGGATTATGGTCTAAGGTCTGACTCTTACTAAGGAGCTACAGCAGGTATCATGATGTAGAATTTGGAATCTGTCAGGCAAAGAATGTTTGTGGTGGGCAATAGCTGTTTTTAGTTGCCTATGGTTCTCCACAATAGAGACATCAGGAAGGGACCAGGGTGAGAAGAGACTGGAGGTATATGGCCAGATATCCAGGGACTAAGAAGGGAGTTGCAAGGACCACCCAGAAGAGAGATGCATCCATTCTGAACCAAGCTTGGGAAAGAGGAAGCAGAAAGAAACTGAACCAGCAAAGCTGTTCCTCAACAGAAAATGCTTTTTAACCTCTTAAGCCAGGCCCACAGAATGCAAAGCTGCACAACCAGATAAGAATTACTTATCACACATACTCCCATCTTTCTGAAGAGTGAATCAAGAGTTAGGGGAATGATTTTAGGGGGGTACCAGTGAAGAGATGGGGATGTGGCGGGGGGGGGGGGGGGAAGGTGAGCTGAGGGTGAGGAGAGTTGAGAAGTCTTTTTCCTCCATTGTAGACTTCTATCTCCAGACAGGCCCAAACCAGGGGAAAGAGCTCCAAGCTTGTAAATAGGTTTGACACTTTATATATTACATGAAGCAGGAAATTCTCATTTCGGAACTAAGACCAGAAATTAGGGATCTTCCTCCAGGACAAGCAAAGACTATCCTAGTGAGTAAGAGTAAAGGAGCAGTGTGAGAGAAAGTTGCATTTGGTCACAATCCATGTGCTGGAATGAGCATTACTGGGAAAATCACTCTGAGAAGTGAGTTTTTCCAGACTGGACTGGGAAAACTTAGGGAGGATGAGAGGTAAGTTTCCTCTTCCTGATAGTGATAATGAAGTGCTTATACTTCACTTGTGGAGACAGGTTCAATAAAGCTGAGCACAGTTAGCCTCTGTCGATCAGTGTACTCATTGTAGCAGCCACGAGGATGCCTCTAGGCTCTCCCTTCAAGAAAAAACTTACCTTCAGCTGCAAGAAGTGCTGTGAACTGACAACCTCCAGCTATAGCACCTTCAGAGTCCTTGCTCTTTCTCGATAGCTTCAGCCCAGAGTGGATGTCAGCATCCGGATGGTCTTGCACAGTGATTACTACTGTCTGGGCATTCTGGGCATACTGTCTGGGCCCAGCTCAGGCCTCCTTTACTGGGCAACCTTGTTCCAGGTTGACTCCTTGTTGAGCTAGCAGACTGTGAGATCTGCATCCCTGCCTGAAGTTGTCCCTGAAGCTGTGACTCATCAATCCTGCTTATGGACATTACCCCCCATTGAACTTCTTTTATTCCAGCCATCTGCTTCTCAGAGAAGCTGGCTGATGTGCTGTCTCTTTAAACTCTGAAAAACCTGCATATGATCTTGGTGGCTCCCCCCCCCCACGGCCACTTTTCTTGCTTCATTCATTCATTCATTCATACATACATACATTTAGTGCCAGTCCTGGAGCTGGGGCTTGAAGATAGATAGAAAAGTGTGAGAGACTTGGCTACTTTCCAAGCCAATCCATCATATTCTGGACAGCTCTGACTGATGGGAAGCCTTTCTTTCTTACTTTCTCACTTTCTTTCTTTTTCTTTCTCTCTCTCTCTTTCCTTCCTTCCTTCCCCCCCTCTTTCTTTCTCTGTCCCTCTTTTCCTTCCTTCCTTCTTTCCTTCCTTCCTTCCTTTCTTCCTTCCTCCCTCCCTTTCTCCCTTCCTTCCTTCCTTCCTTCCTTTCCTTCCTTCCTTTCTTCCTCCCTCTCTTTCTCCCTCCCTTCCTTTCTTTCTTCCTTCCTTCCTTCCTTTCTTCCTTCCTTCCTTCCTTCTTCCTTTCCTTCCTTTTTTCCTTCTTCCTCCTTCCTCCCTTCCTCCTTTCCTCCCTTTCTTCTTTCTTTCATTCTCTTACTCTTACCTTTCCTTAAACTGTTGTTTATTTGTATACATTTATTGTACAAAATTATGCATTTATTGTGAATTTTTCATCAATGAATATAACATACCTAGATTTTGAATTTGAGAGAAAATATGCAATATTTTTTCTTTCTAAGTCTCATTTGTTTTAAACATGTGATTTCTAGTTTTGTGTATTTTTCTGTAAGCAACATGATTTTCTTCTTCCATACAGCTAAATAATATGTGCATATATCATATAAATATATGCCATATATACTTCATTTTCTTTATCCATTCATCCTTTGATGGGCCACATAGCTGAGCCCATAGGCAGGGCACAGCCATAGTGAATAGTGCTACAATAAATATGGGTACACAGTGTCTCTATAGTAAACTTATTGATTCCTTTGGATGCATACCCAATAGTGGTATAGTTAGATTATAGTTCTGTTTGAAGTTTTTGAAGCACCTCTTTACTGACTCTCATAATGACTGGACTAATTTTTAGTTCCACCCACAGTGTATGAGGGCTCCTTCTTTTCTTTTTCAGGAAGTCGTTTCTGCTTCTCCATGATCTCTTCCTGAATCTGATTTTACACAGCTTTGACAAACAATGATCTGAGTGACTTAACATCTTTCTCTAATATTGATAACCTAGATAAATTCTGGTCAAAATATTTTACTTTAATGAATTAATGAATTATTAATTAGTTAATTTAGTGCCAGTACTGAGGCTTGAATGGAATGGCTGGGTTCTGTCCCTTAGCTTTTGTCACATGCTCAGGGCTGGAGCTCTGCCTGCCACTTGAGCCACATTCGGCTTTTGGCCTTTTGGTGATTAATTGGAGATAAAGTTGGCTTCAACTGTGATCATCAGATCCCAGCCTTTTACATAGCAAGGACTCAAGAGTCACCTGTGCCTAGCTCTAAATATTTTAAATAGGGTGATTTTTCCCCCTTCTGAATAGGATCTCATTTGGAAACATAATTTAGCTTAAAGAGAAAAATATCTTTGATCTGGTCTAAAGATATCAATTGAATGTGAACATGTATCCAGCAATCATGAGAAATAGAAAAAAATGAACTATATCTGGGGAGATAAAGATGTGTATAGGATCAAATGACCACACTCAATATAGGAACCACCAAGAGAGCTGGGACACAGTATGCAGATTGCCAAACAATAGGCTAGGGAGAATTCAGGGCATGTGCTACATATATGAGGGTCTAGGCATAGAAAGAACAGGACATCTATAAAGACTTTATCAAACAGAGGGATTTGAGCTGAGTTTGGTGGATGGGCTCCATGAGTCAGTGTGATAAACCATCTTGACATCAGGCTAGAGCAGTAGCTCCCTCCATGAGGGATGGGAGAGGCTTAGTGGGGATGGAGGAAGTTGGGTTGGTAACTATTTTCCTCTCTGGTTCCTGCCAATCAGTGTCTCAGTCTCTCAGTCTCTTAACAGCTTGTCTTCTCTATAGCCTGGAGTATGGACCAAGTTACCCTGGGACTGGGCCACAGTTGCTGACATGGAAGCCTTTCCATGGCTGCTCCTCCTGCTGCTCCCAGAAGATGAATGGCTACCTGCATAGTGCTGTCTCCTTCCCCTCCAGTTTTCCTGTCTGATAGTCATTGATCCAGTGAGATCCTTCCTTTGGAAATGTCAGCCTTCCTGGACAAGGAACAGAGTGGCATCAGGGAAGGCTCAAGCAAGAAGAATGTCTGGGGATAAGGAAGGGAGAGCAGAATCAAGATGGCAAAAGAGAAAGAAAAAAGTTAGAGAGTGAAGAGACAGATGAGAGTGACCCCTGGCAGGTGCTCAACTCAGGGATAATGGGAATCTAACATCAGAAGAGGCAACTTTAGGACAAGATCTAGTGTGTAGGTCATAGAAGCTGCTCCATAGTGATAGATGCAGTTTCTGATATCGGGTTCAGCACCTAGAAGACACTAGCTGTGTTATTTCTACCTCTTTTCTACCTACATTTGCAGCCAAAGCATTCTCTGGAGATGGTGCTGATCCTGAGGAAGTAGTTGCAGTCCTTCAGGAGTCAATTAGCTTCCCTCTGGGAGAAGTGAAGAAGTTGAGAGCATCATCTGGTCCTCACAGAAAAGCATCAGTATAGTGACGCCAGGGAACAAAGGTCAGCCAGCGTCCATCTTGGTGATGGACCCTCCTACCAGGGCTGAGTGAGCTTTTTGGAGCCCATCTACTCTCTTTATATTAGCAATCTGGCCTGGGAGGACTCAGGACTTTATCAAGCTCACGTCAACCTGAGGATGTCCTCATTCTCTATCATACAACATTATAATCTACATGTCTATCGTGAGTTAATTTGACTCCTTTCCCCCATCCCCCACCCTCCTGGTTCTCATGGGCTTGCTTATGCCATGGAGGAGGGGTTAGGCTTTGAGAAGCCAGGAGTAGAAGGCAGACTGCCTCCAGCATGCCTCAGCCCTAGTATCTGAGCTACAGCAACAGATAGGTAAGTTGGAGCAAGTGCCACGGAGGGTCCCAAATGCAGTGAGAAGGATGAGAGGCTTTTTGTAAAGACCCTCTAAGGGGCCTTTCTCTCTCAGGGAGAAAGAATGAACATTTATTGAGCCTTTTATTACCCTGTATAATTTGAGGACTACTAATCTGGATCTTTCTTCAACTAAAGCCCAACCTGTCATGTTGAATCTTACTGATAAATGGCTTGGGAATAGTGATAATATTTTGTGTGATCAATGAGGCCCAAGAGGGCTCTGAAGGAGGTATATGAAAGTAAGGAAGAACAAGCAGAAGAAGAAATGGAAGCTATCAACAGCTCTGTTTTCCACCTTAGCAGTTGTTGCTGTGGCCATCCAGAAACAAGAAGTTTTATGATGGTTGATTTTTTGGGTGGTCGCTTATTTGTTGTTTGGGTGAAGGGGCTGTCAAAGGAGGATCAGTTCTTCAGTACTCCAGAGTTTAGAGGTTTGAAAAACAGGTGTCACCACTGTTCAGTGGGTCATTGGGTTTTCCTCTCACCTAGGATGACTGTTGTAGCCTTGAGTCACTGTGAATATTGAGATCTCTGGGGAAGATCACTGTGATGTGTTCCTGACATGTTCTGTAGAGACAGCGGGCATGGATGTGACCTACAGCTGGCTCTCATCAGGGGACAGCAGTGCTATGGTGCAGGAAGGCCTGGTCCTCAACACATCCTGGAGTCCTGGTGAAAATGCTCTTTCCTATACATGCAGGGCCAGCAACCCCATCAGCAACATCAGTTCCCATTCCATCCCTTCTGGGCTCTTCTGTGCAGGTAGCAGCACCCTAAAGACAATCCCCAAGCTTGTGCAAAACTCCTGCCAGACACACATACTCTCTTTCTTCCAACCCCAAGTCTTCTAAAGAGTACATGTACTCCATAGCCTAGCCCTATTCCAAGAGGGTTGAAATCTAGATGGGTGGGGGTGGGGGGGGTGGTAATCACCTTCTGGTGTCTAATTCTCCCAACTTTCAAAGGTCTTGTCTCTTGAGTGGGTTATAACATGTATGTCTAGAGACATATGCAAAGGGATATCCACCGATTATGAACCTGAGACCTCCTCTCTGGAATTTGAGGTAGGAGTTCTTAATCTTAACTTGCCAGTTCCTCTCATGAGACCTTTACCCTTTCCTTCTTTTATCCTAGATTCTGGATATCCTGAAAAGTCTTCAATGGCTTTCTGTTTCCTAGCCAAGGGATTGCTCCTCCTCCTGCTCCTAGTCACAACGCTCTGCGCTCTTTGGGTCCAGAAAAAATGTGCAAAGATAAGAATAAGGAAAATCAAAAGAAACAGAATGAAACTGGAAGAAGAAGCCTATTCCCAGCCTGGCCTGACTGCCTCCTGGGGTCCTTTGTCCTAGGCTTGGTGTTTTCTCAGCTCCAAGGGAATCCAACAAAGGGGGTAACCAGGGCTGCGAAGGGCCATCTTCCTAAAAGCATGGCAATAAAGTCAAGTTGAGTATCTGCTCCTCAGAGGAGATATGCCTACTCTTTCTGTCCTTGCTGGAAGATGGGTAAATTTTCTCCCCACCTTTACTTTCCACTCTGGACACTGAACATTTCTCCAAGAACAGGTGGGGTTTTTTGTTGTTGTTGTTTTGTTTTTTGTTTTTGTCAGTTCAGGGCTTGAACTCAGACTGGGCACTGTCCCTGAGCTCGTCTGCTCAAGGCTAGTGCTTTACCACTTTGAGCCACAGCTCCACTTCCGATTTTCGAGTAGTTAATTGGAGATAAGAGTCTCGTGGAGACTTTTTCACTCCACTTCCAATTTTTGAGTGGTTAATTGAAAATAAGAGTCTCACAGGGACTTTTCTGCCACAGTTGGTTTCAAATCACAATCCTCAGTTCCCAGCCTTCTGAGTGGCTAGGATTATAGGTGTGAGCCACTGGTACATGGCTGGTAAGTATACAATGATGGGTGTGTGTGTGTGTGTGTGTGTGTGTGTGTGTGTGTGTGAGTCATGGGGTTTGAACTCAGGGCCTCTGCACTGTCCCTGAGCTCTTTTGCTCAAGGCTAGTATTCTACCACTTTGAGCCACATTAACACTTCCAGTGGCTTGTTGTTATTGTTGTTGTTTTATTTTTTCTTCGGGCCCATCTTTGGGGAAGAAAGTAAGCCCAAAGACTCCCTCAGAATGAGGTGTTTGCTTTTTACTAGGCCCACCCAGTACTCTATCAGTATAAATCATATATGCTTTAAATTAGACAGAGTTCTTTTAACCTAACTGAAACCTCAGTTAGCTTCCTAAATGGACCGTTTCCAGTCCTTAGAATAGACACGAAGTGGTATTGTACTTGTTAAGTTTCTTTAACTCTTTTGCCTCCATTTCATCCTGGTAGATAAATTTACTAAAGTATTCTGCCCCACAGAGAAGGTGAAGGACCCTTGTTTGATCTTATTCTGGACCAGAGTTGAACATTGTGACCACAATTGTCTTCCTCATGCCAGTTGCTCTAGGCCTCTGGTGACTACTTCAAAGCAATGACAATTTCCAGGATCAGAACCCTTAACTTCTTTTTGTCGCTGGCATTGTTATCCTGTGTGTTTGTTTCTTCCCTGTAGATTTCCATGTCTTGTGTCTTTTCTCTAGGATCTTGACTGGGATTAATACCCACTCTTCACTCTCTGGCCAAGGTTCTTATGTGTATACTCTTGGTCTTTCCCTAGTCCTGTGACTAGCCTGAATTTCTCCTTGAGGGCTGCTGTGCTGCTTCCTGTGTCTATCAATTGCTCTTTTGAATTTTTCTTGTATAACTGCCAGAGAGAGAACTGGAGGACACTTAAGTGCAGGCAGTAAGTGATTCTGGAGAAGTGGCACAGGATGGGGTAGGAAGGGAGCTGGGTGAGATGTCAGAAGCCCTGGGCTTTGCTGGGTCACTTGCCTCTGGCCTAGGACACTACATTCATTTAACATCGATTGAGCCACAGTCCATTTCCACAAGGAATATACGCTTGAGGGAGGTGTAGGTACAGATACTTGGAGTTCTTACAGACATGTCTAAGCAAGTGTGTTGGCTTTCACCCAAGAGGGTTAGTCAGGGAGCCCTGGAGAACTTCAGAAGTGAAATCTGACAGGTAGAGGACCATGTGACAGGAGACATAGCTGACTTTCCTCTGGGACTCTTCTCCCCTTCTCATATGTGAAGGACAGAATGCTGACTTCCAGAGTGTCTTCCCAAGAACAAGAATATGAACTCTGTGAAGGGTGCGGGAAGACACTAGGGAACCATGGAGACCAAAGACACCCAGCTTTTAGGAAAGTAGGCCATGTGCATTGGATCTTGGAACAATGCAGGGAGAGGCTCTGAAAGCAGTATGGGGTGGAGTCTGAAGCTAAGACTCAGGCTGTCTCTATGTTTTTATGAAGGAGATTGTGGCCCTTGGGCTTGTATAGAGTCTGGTGAGAGTTCCTAAGACTGTTCTCTAAGGGCCAGAGCTCTTGTCCCGGTGGAAGGCAGTCCTTGGCTTGAGGATGTTTCTCTGTGCCTCCCTTAGGTTCTGAGCAGTATCTGCACAGACACAACCTCTGATCTTAATAACATTTTTCAGAGGCATTACTTCAGGTCTTGGGGCTATGTAGGGAATAAAACAAAAACAAAAACAAAACCACCCGGAGAAGTGTAAGACACTGCCTTCTAACCCCAGCACTACAAAAACAGAAAACCACTAGGTGTCCATTCATCTTGCACACAGAAATTCACCCCCATTTTGCCTCTATTACAGAATCTGGCACACAGACATAAGTAATGGTCCCTGTAAGTCTTGTCAAAGATTTTCCTGGAGTTGGCAAAGTCTCTTCTCATATTCAAGCTCAGAAAAGACAAAGGCTGAGGTTCCAAAACAGGTCAGAACTCCTGGAAAAGTGAAGTTTCAAAGGTTGACTAGAAACTCCGAGAGGTCCAGGCTTCTTGATTCAGTCTTCCAGCCTGTTACTGTTTGCTCTTCCTCATCGTTTGAAATAGGTGGAAGGACATAATATTTAATCACATAATAAATGTCATGTATTGGGCTCACAGTAAGAGGCAGAACCCTGCCATCAAGGAACTCATGCAGTGTGTAAAGACATGATTGCAAGGTGTGGCAAGACCTATGGTGGAAATGCAGCATGGTAAATGGAGAGGTGTCCTTGAGGAAATGAAGCAATATAATTTCTCTTGGTGATCAGTAGTGAATCCAGGGAAAGGAGAGAAAGGCTTTCTAATCGGACAGAAGGTAAGTGCGAAGAGACAGAGCAACTCACAGAATTACATACTGTGAATAAGGGACAGATGAATGGAGACCTAGGCAGGAGCTTTTTCATTAGACTTGGGTGTGGGAGTTGAGGGTAAGATCCACAGCCCTATGGGGCTTCATATCTCACTAGGACAAAACACACAAACAGTTAATAACAATAATAAGAAACCCTATTTTTTTTCCTAGAATGTTTAAGGGGACCAGTGCTCAAGGGCATGTTGTCAACAAAGTCCCTGGAATCCTGGGTTTTTCTGATATTTTTGTCAGCAAGTTGAAAATACACAGGCAAGCTGTTACTATAGTAAAAATCTTAGTTGGCTGAATAAACTTTCCCAGAGAATGTTAATGACTAGATCAAGGACGAGCTTGTTTAGGACAAACTAAAGTCTAAAAGCTTCATTTTGAACTTTGATGATCATTGTTCTCATTATCAACTTTCATTTCTGGGGTAGTAAGGGAATAAGTGATAGATCTAGGATCTTTTTCTTAAAAAACTATGTTATGTTTTTAATCAGAAGAAGATGAGCATGCTTCTAGAAAAGCATGAATATGTCATAAGCCTTTAAAAATTGAAAACCATGTATTTATCATACACTTGTGTGTGTGTGTGTGTGTGTGTGTGTGTGTGTGTGAATGTGGCAGCAGTGGGCTTGAATTTAGGGCTTACCTGCCTGGACTGGCTTCAAACCTTAATCCTCAGATCTCAACCACCTAAGTAGTTAGGATTACAGGTATGAGCCATTGATGCTGGTGCTCTACTTGAAAATCATTTTAAATCTCCCCAAATGAGATTGTCTTATTTTCCCAAAACTACTAGAGATGGCAAGAATGAAAGATTTGGATCAGATGTGAGGCCAGTTCTTCTGCTGGCTAGCAAGGAGCTAAGAACTCAATGAGGCTTCGAGGCTGTGTGTGTGTCCACTAACATGATGTCTTTAGGGTTTTGTCAATTGTTAGAGCAACCAATTATACTGAAAAGCCCCTCCCCTTTTTTGGCTTTGCTGGAAGTGTGGTGGGAGATCCCAAGGACCTCTTCTACTTTTGTCAGTGTCAAAAAGCAAAACAAACAAAACCCCATCCGTTTGCACCTAGAAGATTTCTCCAGTAGTTATTCAAAAGATGCAATGACCACCAAAGAAATGCTGTACTTCCTGGCCCAAGACATGATCAGATAAGGTTGTGTGTCCACTTGGAGCGAAGATTTGGCAAGGTTTATCTTGCACAGCAGTGTTTATATGCATCTTTCAGGGTCAATCCTTCATGACCTTGTCACCGTGATTCCATGAATCAGATACTTGGTGTCTGAGTGGTAGGTATTTGGACTGGGGTGAGATGATTCCATTGGAACTCAATGAATGGGAAGTAGTAGTTACACAGGCAACAATTACTGAAAGGTATGGGGGGACGGCAAATAACAGACCTGCATCTCGAGTCGGGTCAAGCTGAGGAAGTACAAATCCCTGAGGAGTAGCTACACAAAGTATCTTGTCACCAGAGAGTGAAGTCTCCAAGGTAGTAAGTTTCAAGTCCAGTTTGAATTTGAATGCGCTCTGCCTGTTCCTCGGCTGGAAATCTCAGCAAGTGACTTCAGCTCGTCGGGTCTTTGTTTTCTCATTAGACAAATGAACGTACCCTTCACGGAAAGTCTGTGAGGGTTATAGGAGATTTACAAAGTATCTAGCCCAAGGTGTGGCGCCCTGCTGGGCTCCAGTGAAGCATTAGTTATTTCGTGCTCCCTTTTCATCTCTGTTGTTTGGAAGCCTGTCATTTCTGCCCTCCGGGCCTGCTTCTCTTGTTCCTTCCTGCTACTATAGTAGCCTGGGAATCTATTAGGCACCCCCAAACTCAGAAAGCAGCCTGCGCCAGGTGCACGCTAGGGAGGCGCCTAGGCAAGATCTGGGAGCTAGCCAGCACAGACAGGTATTTCCAGTCTGGCGAGAGAGGAAATGGGTGGAGTTGGGGATGGGGACCGGGGAAGAGGAGATCGGATGGATGAGCCCAGGTCTGGGTGGAGGGAGGGAGGGGGTGGGGAGTCGCGCTCTCCCCGGGTGCGCCAGCCCGGGGCTCAGATTTCAACCCAGTCCTGTATTTCCGAGAAGGGCGGGGGTCGCAGGTGGGATGCCTGCCCGGAGGCTGCACAGCGGCGGGCTCCGGTAGCCCGTGCACGGGACTGACCCCGTAAGCCCCTCCGGCTCGCAGTGGGAAACCGCGGCCCGCCTTCCCAAGCTGAAGAGCTCCACGAGGGGGCGACCTGAGCCCACGTGCAGCTGAGTCCTTCTCCTCGAAACTACAACTCCCAGGCGGCCCAGGGGTCCTGCCCGCCTCGCCAGGCCTCTCTCGTTTCCGATTGGTCGCCTCGGAAAGGGGGGGTGGGGGAATTGGCGGTCTCCAGGGCGACGGGAGGCGCTCGGGGCATCCGAGGCGGGGAGGCAGGTCCGCCCCCTATTGTGTGGCTGCGAGAGCGGAGCCCGAGCGGTGCGGAGCAGGTGAGGGTGGGGGCGTTCTGGGGGGGGATAGAAATGGGGTGCCGGCGGGGGGCACGGGCAGCCGTGTGGAGTTGTGGGGGGCCCGGGAGGAGCCGGGGAGCTCTGGAGAGTAGTGGAATTCTTGGAGCGAGCAGGACGAAGGGAGTTCTAGGCAGTGGAGTGGCATTCTTGGTGGGTGGATGGGGTTCCCCGGGAACTGGAAGAGTTCTGGAGGTAAGATGGGGGAGTTTTTAGTGGGTTCCGCCAGCAAGGAGGAGTTCCAGGGGCTGGAGATGGCGAGGGAGAAGGGAATGGTTGGGTAGAGTCTCAGAAGTGTGGTTTGGGCTGAGCCAGGAGAATCCCAGGGAGGGGGAAATCCTGGGAGCAGAGAATGGGGAGGAGACCTGTGGGGAGTTCTCTGAAGCGCAGAGAACCTGCTACAGCTGGAGACAGATCAGGTGTGAGAAGCTGGAATTTTGGAGGGACTGTGATGGAGGCATGGCTGAGATGGAGTGCTATGTGGATTAGGGACTGCTGGACGGGGAGACTAGAAAGGAGGGAAATGATGGGGGCCAGTATAGTTGGAAAGGTCCTAAGGAAAGTGGGCTAATTATGGGGCTGCCTGAGTTACAAGAATCGTGGCAAACAGAGCCAAAAGAGAATGGGGGGGGGGTTCCATTTGGTTTGATAGAAGGGTTGTAGGGGGAGTATGGGAGAGCTGACTGGCGGGCCATGGAAGATTGGGAATGTTGCTGCAGAATTCCCAGGAGTCAGGTATTGAATAGAGAGACAGGGAGGAGATATTTTATAGCCAGTACTGAACTGTGAGGACAAGAAGGGTGGAGGCCCCAGAGCAGAGTCCACTTAGATTTGCCAGGCCCAGGCAAGGGCCGTCTGTCTCCACATGACTGCCTTAGGACTGATGGGGCCTAGACTGTCAACAATTCCTACCCTTTGTGCCCCGGGTTCATTTGGTACACCTAAGGATACAGGCATTTTTGTCTTCTGGGGATTATGCCCCTAGCGTTGGGAAAGGGATGGCCTGGCAAACACTGGTGCCTCAGGATACTGGAGAAGAGAGAGTGGGAGGAATTGGGATGAGGCATTTGAGCCAAGGTGCCTGGCAGAGGTAGGGCTGCCTGGCAGCATCATGAAGGGGAAGTGGTGCCTACTGCCAGCCCCAGGACCTGCCCAGACTTGGAGGAGGGTGCTGGGCCCCCCCATATCAGCAAATAGGGGAGACAGCTCCTCCTCTCTCAAATTCTTGTCTCAAAGTAGTATAGGAAGGCTTTGTAAAGAGGGCATAGGACTTTACACATAGAGTTAGGAAATTGGGCAAGAGATTGTGTGGGAGGGTCTTAGGGGCCTCTTTGGGGGGCTTAAGCAGCTAGATTCTAATCCAGAATGACCGCCTCCAGGTCCTCATTGGTCACAGTTGGAGTGGGAGCCATAACATGGGTTCTACCTTGCTTTTCTGTTACTGTGTTACCATCAGGAGTAAGCAAAGAGAAGAGAGAGAAGGTTGAGCTATGAGGATCCTGATCTCTCATATTTCCCTGAATAATCTTATTCCTCCACATATAAGAACCACCCAGTTTCTCCTAGTTGTTGCCAACAATATCATAATTCAGGGTTTCTTAGAATTCCTCTGCTTTTCATAGAATTTCTCTGCTTTAGGATCCTTCCAACTCAGTTGGCTCCTGCCATTTTCTTACCTATGTAGTCTCCTCACCCTGTCCTCTGCTCTCTGGCTTAATCCCAGGGCTTTAAAATCTCTGGCCTTGGGAACTAGGGATATATTCTTAATGATAGAGTGCTTGCCTAACATATGGGAAGCCCTGGGTTCAATGTCCACCATTACAACAGAAATGATCCTTGTCTCTTCACTGGCCTCTCCCTAGCCCACTTATTTGCTTTCCTCCCTCCATTTTTCCCTAGTGTTTTTCTCTGACTGGAGTTTCTTCTGGGCTCCACCACTGACCAACTCTGCCTGTTGCCTTGCATTTGCATTTAGAGCTGTTGGAGTCTCCAGAGAACAGCCACCTCAGGTGGTACACGAGAGCTGAAACCCGAGGCCTAATCAGAAGGATTTGATCCCAGGATTCCTGGGCAGTGGACATCTCTCGGCCCCTCCATCTGGGCTCCTGTGGCTAGGAGGGGCTGGGCAAGCAGGCCAGCTGGGCTATGGTTTGGTGCTTCGGTCTGGCCATCCTCAGCCTGATCATCAGCCAGGGGGCTGACGGTGAGCTGGATCCTTGGGGCTCAACAACTCCCTGTTAGCTTTGGGGTGTGGGGTGTTCCTCAAGGGGTCCTCTGTAAGTGTGTGAGGTTAGGAGATGGCTAGGGCTGGTTCTAGTGAAGGGTTCCTCTACCCAAAGTCCTAAGGAGCCTATAGAGATACTGATGGAACTTCCCCTCCCAGCTCTCACTTTGATCCCCTGCTGTGCCCTCATGCCACCCACCATGCAGGTCGAAGAAAGCCTGAGGTGGTTTCTGTGGTGGGCCGGGCTGGGGAGAGTGCAGTGCTGGGCTGTGACCTGCTGCCCCCGGCTGGCCGGCCCCCTCTGCATGTCATCGAGTGGCTGCGCTTTGGATTCCTGCTTCCCATCTTCATCCAGTTTGGCCTCTACTCTCCCCGAATCGACCCTGATTACGTGGGTAAGAGTTCTCCTCAGGTGGGAGGGAGGGAGGTATCCCAAACAAAAATGAAGCTGGGTAGGCTGAGTGCAATCTCTAGTCCTGCTCCACTCTCATCTCCTGCTCCACTGCCTTCCTCTGCTTAACAAGCATGGCTGTGCTTCCCAGCATGTTGATTCACTGAAGGGGTCATACACACACACGTGTGTACACACACACACACCTGTGTGCATACTATAGCTGTATCATTTAGAACTTCGCCTGGTTGTTCCACAGGAGATCCTACAGTCCTGTTCCAAGTACCCATCCCAATTTTCCAGTCATTCATCGTGCAACCTCCCTGATTCCATCCTGATCTGTAATCGCTTAGCCTGAGCCTATTCTTTGGCTCTCCTATCTGCTTGTTTCCCTGTCTTCCCATCCCCCACAGTCTGAGACGCTAGTTTGGGGGTTCCAGGCTTTTAGGGAGTGGGCTAAAGGGGCAGCAGGGTGGGTGGGGCTCCAGCCTCTTTGCTTCTTGGTAGTGGAGGGATGGGGCATAGCTTGATTCTGAGTAGAAAAGAGTATGTGCACTGCACCGAGAAGGCAGGCTGGGGGTGGAGGGGCTCAATTTCCCAAAGGTTAGTTAATACATGGATGGGGCTGGCTGGGTTGCTGCTTCTACTGCCCCCCATCTGGACCCCTGCAGTGGACTTCTTGCTCCTAATCGGATGGAACTTTAAATCTGCTTGGTTTAGTATCAGGTCTCAGAGGTAGTATTAGGTCTCAGAGGGCCTGCAGGAGGTTCTCACCATGGGTTTGAGTTGCTGAGCAAGACAGAGTACTGCTACTGCTTCTTCAGAGGTGAAACTCAGAAAAAGCCACTAGGGAGGATGTTAATGGGGACCCCCACCTTTTCCCTCTTTAGTTTTGAATCATGAGAGATGCCCTGGGATTGGCTGGGCTCTTGCCACAGGCGGGCTGGGCCTCCAGGGCAGGCTGAGCACAGGCAGGTGCTGCAGAAGGAGAGTTTATTTTCAAACTGGGGACAGTTACTGGCAAACAGCCTGGTGGGAGTGTGTATGTGTCTACAGAAGCCCTCAGGGACTTGAAAGTGAGGCCCCAATTAGCACAGCAGAGGGGGAAAAATGCCTTTGCCCACCTCCTGTCTCTGCCTGCCTGGACATGGTTTAGGACTACAGAGCTGACGCTGAACAGATTCAGAATGTTGCCTGAGGGAAGGCTAGGTAGCAGAGGTAGAGGAGAAGTTCTTAGAAAAGGGCTTTCCCAGAGACTCCCCCAAAAAGGTGGGGAACTTCTCCCTTCCTCCAGCCTCTGTCCTGTCTGGCAGTCCTCCAGGCAGACAAGTTACTGGATGGCTAGTGACTATCTACCTGTAGGTTTCTTTCTAATTCTGTATTGCTTCTTGAACTACAAGGACCATGAACTATAACCTTTGGAACTTTCCTTCTACCCCTATGGTTTGTTTCCACCTCTGCCCCTGACCAGTTTGGAGCTCCTGGTTAGCTTGAACTGGTCCAGAGAGTCAGGACCCCAAGAAGAAGGCCCCTGGGCCCATTAACCCTTTTATTGCCTCACAGTGCAGAAGGGGCCTCTCAGCTTTTGTGTAGGGGACTTGAAACTGCAGTTGCTAAGCAACTGGAGGTGGAGGTTGCTAAGGACAATGCTGTTCTGTCATAAACCCTCTGGGCCAGTGGAAGGAAGATGGGCCTGGGATTGTGTGTGGGGCTGGTGGCCTAGAATGTGTGAGAACCATGAGAGAGATACAGAGCTTTCCTGACCACTGTGAAGAGGCTTTCAGGCTTGGAGGACTAAAAGTTATCTAGCAGAGGAGATTGGGTTTATTATAAACTCATACAAAAGTAGCAAAAAACAAAACAAGACCAGTCTCTTCCCCCAAAAAAACCCCTAATATAAATTGTGTGTGTGTGTGTGTGTGTGTGGGGCAGTCCTTGGGCTTAAATACAGGGCCTGGGTGCTGCCCCTTAGCTTTTTTGCTCAAGGCTGGTGCTCTTCCATTTGAGTCATAGTTCAACCTTTCCAGACTTTTGGTGGTTAATTGGAGATAAGAGTGTCATGGACTTTACCTGCTCAGGTTGGCTTCAAACCAAGATCCTGAGATCTCACCCTCCTAAGTAGCTAGGATTACAGTCATGAACCACTGGTGCCTGGTTTGAGCTAGGATTTGGAGTCAGATTAAATTAGCTACTGTAGGTAAAGTATTTAGCAATGTGCCTGTAGAATGTCTTTACAGGGCTTTAGTCTATACTCTAGTTTTCCCAGAACGGATGTTAGTTAGACCAGTTCTTTGCATCCTTGAGACAGGCTCTTGGCCCTTGACTTTTGTGTTGTGTTTCTTGGCCGGTTCAAGATGCCGCACACCACAGAAATGACACACATTTTCTCACTGTGCTGTTTGATTAAAAAAAAAATCAGTTGTCTCGATCTCTGGTTAGGACTCTCCTGCTTGCTTTAGTCATCTCCCATTGTCCTTCAAAACCATCTGCCTAATTACATCTCCCTGAACACCTTGCTTGCTCCTCTTGTTTCATAGTGCAATGTTTGGACAGAGCCAAGTGCCATGTTTTGAACTTCTATATGGGTGAACACACACTTGCCCACATTGGCTCAAGGCAGTATGATTTTCCTCTTTGGAAAACCTTACAGAGCAGCTGCTGTCCTTTCTCTTTCCTACAACTGGCATATGGGAAGATCTGAAGTCTGGTGGATTTGGTCCTGTGGCTGGAACACAGGCTTCCAGGAGGATGGTCCAGGCCTCAGGAGGTGTCAGGACCCCTGCATCTTCCTGCCCCTCTGTGTACCACTGCAGCCCAGGTCTCCGAGAAAATTGAGGACTTGAAGAATTGTGTACTGGGTATTCTAGGACAGTTTGTCATTGTCTTCCAATTTCCAGAGTGGGAATATAGGCATTTGTGCTCAATCGCTTGTACATCACTGGACCCTAATGCCAGTGTTCAGTGTTACTAAGCTGAGTAGTTTTGGGAAGAAAATATCTGTTCCTTCATCCACAATGAAATTTTTGGGAGAATGGAATATAATGACAAGGCCTAATACATGGCCCATATTCAGCGCTCAACTCCCTTCCCTCTTCATTCTTTCCTTCCAGAGCTCAAAAAATGCCATAATGTGGCTGAGAATGTGGCTTAGTGGTAGAGTGCTTGCCTAGCATGCATAAAACCCTGGGTTCAATTCCTCAGTATCACATAAGCAGAAAAGGCCAGAAATGATGCTGTGGTTCAAGTGGTAGAGTGCTAGCCTTGAGCACAGAGAGGCTCAGGGACAGTGCCCAGGCCCTGAGTTCAAGTCCCAGGACTGGCAAAAAAAAAAAAAAGAAAAGAAAAAGAAAAAAAGAAAGAAAAAGAAAAACAACAAAAAAAAGCCATAATGAAAAGTTACTATTATATGGGACATATAAGGGGGCTGTATTTTGGGGTCTGTGAGGCTCAGTATACAGACAGCTTAGGGTTATCAAAGAATCCTGCTGGTGAGTAGAAGGGTTTGATTATGTTAAATATTTACCTGCTAGGCCTAGTCTTATCTGCTGGGTGGGGATTAAACGCCTAGCCCTTTAAGCTGGAACTCCCATCCTAAAGAATTCACACCCAGGATCCATTCTTAGAATTAAAAAAGACCCTGGCCTCCACTTCTTCTCTGTAGGATCAGAGCCAGTTGACTTACCATCTTGGGGCAGGTCATTCCAGAAGCAGCATAGTAGCAGATCAGAGAGGGTGATTATACCAACAGGTTTGGAGTTTTGACTGTGAGGAAGGGCTAGAGTGGGCATGATGTTAAAAGCCCTACCCTTGTCTACCATTGGTCTACTCCAGAGGTCACTGTGGGAGAAGGCAGCTGGTGAGTATAGAGGGAATTAGCTCAACTACCCAAGGAAGAGAGATGGCTGGCATCAGTGATGGTAGAGAAGGCAATACAAATACTTAGGAGGTAGGATTTGGAAGCTACGCTAAGCAAATAGATAAAGGAGGGGTGATGGAGGAAACAAGGTTGTGGTGCAGTTTACCAATGTGGGAGAGGAAAGGGAGATGGTGATTATCAGTAAGTGATGGGGCCTAGGGTGAGCACAGGCTCCTGATTTCAGATCTGAAGCCTCGTCCTGTGGGTAGCAGCCTTTATTTGAGTTTCCACACGAGCCAGGCACTAGGCTGTGTGCCTTCTTTCCGTTATCTCACCCTCTGCCACACCCCCAACTTTTTTTTTTCAGTTTTCATTTTCATAGATGAGGAAACTAAAACTGACAGGTTAAGTTATTAGCCAAAGGAGTCCACAACAGAGCTGGACTTGGACCTAGGTCTCTGGCTGCCAAGCGTGTATGTCTTTCTCTTTAGGCTGCACTGCCAGGGACTGGTGAAGCTGATTCCATCAGGGATTCCATCAGGGAGAGTGCTGTGGGATGCATGGACACCTTAGTCTGAGCCTGGGGGGATGTTGTGGATGTTGACTCAGGGTCCCCACAGCACGAGCTGTCTGCTTGTGCTGTGGTGTGTGGCTTTGTGGAGCTACATGTGGTTTGTCAGCAAAAGCCTGAGTGCCCTGGGGTGTGATGGGGATGGGGTGAGATGGCTGCTGACTCTGCGGCCTGGCTGGGCTGGGCTCTGGCCACCTAAGGCGCTTAGACAGCTGATAATAGAAATGAGGGATTAGAGGCTTTGACAGGCGAGGTCTAGGTCCCTGCTAGGGCCCCAAACACAGCTGGGGGTTCCAGGGACATGCCTTCTGCCAGAAGAATACCCAAGGGAACCCATACTTTGCCCTTACAAATAGACTTCTGCGATAGGCAGATCTACAGAACTTCAGAGGAGATCAAATGCTGGCTTTTCAATCCTCTCCCTCTAACCAGTCTCAGGAGCTAGGTGGAGTTCAGTAAAATGTTCTACTCACCCTTCTGGGTTCTCTGTCTCGGCTGGGTGTCAGCTGTGGGAAGGCAGAAGCAGGTGGAAGGGCTGAACACAGCAACCTGCCCTCAATGACCCGGGCTCACCTGTGTAGACCCTCACTCTAATCAGGGTAACAGAGAGTGAGCCTAGTCTCTACCACAGAGAATGGCCACTGTGAACAGGGGTGGAGGCCTCCTGCTAGATCCCTTCAGCACCCCTGACCCAGGGCTTCCCAATACCCCAGGACGAGTCCGACTTCAAGCAGGAGCATCTCTCCAGATCGAGGGGCTTCGAGTTGAAGACCAGGGCTGGTACGAATGTCGTGTGCTCTTCTTGGATCAGCACAGTCCTGAAGAGGATTTTGCCAACGGCTCCTGGGTGCACCTGACAGTCAATTGTATGAAGCTGGGGAGAAGTGTTGCAGGGAGGGAGGAACATGCAGGGGATGGGGGTGGTGGAGAAAGGGAAGGGAAAGTGGAGTTTCCAGCCCGCAGGCAGGGACAAAACCCCACCCTTCCTGACACTCCCTGTTTGCCCAATTAGTGGTTGATTCTTTCCCTTCCCCACCAGCCTGCCCTTCCAAGTCTTCAAATCCAAATCTAATCAGCCCCCTAGGCTCCGTTGAGAAACTTTCTCTTTTCTGGTCGGGCTCTGCTGGGGTCGTGAGTAGAGAATGGAGGACTGTTGTTGGGCTCTGAGTGAAACAGCTTACCCTTAAACAGAACCTTATGTTTTCAAAGCATCTTTTTACTCATGACTTCACTTAACTCTCTAAAAACAAAGTCATAATCATTCTCATTTTGGAGGTGAGATTGGGGCAGAGAAGTGGGTGGAGAAATGGCACTTGGCACTGAGTGGTAGAGTACGTGTAGGATCCTAATCTCCTAACTCGGAACAGTGGGACATTTAGCTCTCACCCAAACCTTGTCTCCTTCTCCACCCACCCCGCCCCCCTCCTCCATCCCATCTCTGCACAGCCAGGCCAGGCCAGACCAGTATGTGGAGATGGGTGGTACAATTCTCATTTTCTTCTAGGTACAATAGATTTGGAGTGGGATTCCTATGAAGCTGGGCAGGCTGGTGGAACGAGGCCGCAATCCTAAGTTGTCTCCTAGGCCTTGGACGATGTTTGGGGGGCTGCTAACTGCTCTGATGGGCTGTGATCACCCTCTTCCCAATAGCTCCCCCACAGTTCCAAGAGACACCTCCTCAAGTCCTTGAAGTGAAGGAATTGGAGCCAGTTACCCTGCACTGTGTAGCCCGAGGGAGCCCCCAACCACGAGTGACTTGGAAGTTCCAAGGACAGGACCTTGGCCAGGACCACAGTCAGCTACGAGTGAGTAGGCCAGCTGGAGCATTGAGGGAAGGTGGATCAGAGCTGGAGGGCTGGGGCTTGAGCAGGTGGGGGGCATCAGACTGGGAGCTGGGTCAGAGGAAGGGCTTTGCATTGGTTCTTTGAGTCTGGGGTGCTGCCTCCCTCTGCTGGCCAACTTTGGAAGTACCTGGACTGAGGCTGGTTGTGCAGAAAGGGATTTTACTCTTAAGGACTCCTTCCTTCCTCAGGTGCAGAACGAGACACTATGGATCCAGAAGGTGACCCGAAGCAGAGCTGGAGTCTATACATGCCAAGCCTCCAGCACTGAGGGCAGTGCCACCCATGCCACCCAGCTTCTGGTGCTAGGTGCTTTTTGGTTGGGAGTACTGGAGGCAGAAGATGCCTAGGGGAGAAGACAATGAACTGTATTTGGGAGAAACACAAGAAGACAGGAAGGAGGCTTGTTCCTGGGGGGAGGAGGTCGATACAGGTTGAGAAGTCTCTAAGTGCAGGCTGTTGCTCTCAAACCAATTGGTTTTATTTTTATTTTTTATTTTTATTGGTTGTGGGGCTTGAACTCTGGGCTTGGTCGCTGTCCTTGTGCTCTTCAGCTCAAGGCGAGTGCTCTACCGCTTGAGCTACAGCGCCACTTCCGATTTTCTAGTGGTTTATTGGAGGTAAGAGTTTCTTGGACTTTCCTTCCCGGGCTGGCTTTGAACCGTGATCCTCAGATCTCAGCCTCCTGAGTAGCTAAGATTACAGGTGTGAGCCACCGATGCCTGGTTTCAATTGGTTTTTAATAAGGATCAGTTAGTAGACAAATAGATGTTTAGTTCTCAGAAGCATGGTAGAGGAGGAGGTGAGTGTTGGTATTAGGCTGTGAGTTGGTTTTCTCATCAAAAAAGTACATATCTCCATTTCAAGACTGACAAGAATTTAGGTTCAGCCAAGCACAGTGAATGGCACACAGTAATTGCTGATTGTGGCAAGCTGAGGTGTGTGAGGCCTTCCCGGGGCCTGTTACCTGTCTGGGAGATAAAGTGGGAAGAGTTGCTCTCTATGGTACTATGAGTAGGACAGTATTGGATAATGGTTAAAGATAGAGATTCCGGCATCATCAAGCTGGGCACTGGTGGCTCACACTTGCAATCCTAGCTATTCAGGAAGCTGAGATTTGAGAATCACAGTTTGAAGCAAGCCCAGACAGAAAGTGTGAGATTTTTATGGCCAGTTAATTACCACAAAACTGGAAGTGGCACTGTGGCTCAGAGTGGAAGAGTACTAGCCTTGAGAAAAAAAAAATGCTCAGGGACAATGCCCAGGCTGTGAGTTCAAGCCTCATGACTGACCAAAATAAAAAAAAAAGCCTGAAGAGGAATCATGCTTCCCCTACTGACCTAGGGCACGTCACCTCACCATCGCTCTGCCTCTGAGCCTCTGTTTCTTCCACTATCAAAAGGAAGCAACAATTCCTTCCTCATTGCCTCTTACAGAGAGTAATAAGATGAGCAGGCAAAGTGCTAGGCACTCAGTGCCAGCCCTGGCATTCCCTCTTATACTGACTAGTCATACACTGAGACCTAGAGGACCATGTAGCTACAGTGGTCAGAGACAGGTGTGCAGGAGGCCCTAGGGCAGAACATTCCAGACCTGTGGTTCAGGGAGCTGAGACATAGAAATAGGAGTCTGCCTGATGCCTGCTGTCCAGATTGACCTGAAGGAGTTCATGAGGGCTGGTGTGTGGAGAGATGGATCCTAGGCCTAGAACTGTGAGCTCAGTGTGTTAGACCTGGAACCACTGCGGGTCCTGGAGCAGAAGTGTTCTGTGGGTGAAGATGACCTGTCTGCATAAATGGTCATTGCTGTGACATCTACACAGATGAGCCTGTGTTGACTTGTTATAGTATCTTGGGTAGGGTATGAGTACCTGGATAAGAGGAAGGGGCATGGGGTGACTTAGGGACAGGAAAGGTGAGCAGAGTTAAAATTATCCTCCCTAGGAAGTGGAGCTCAAGTGGTGGAGTGCTAGCCTTGAGCAAAAAAAGCTCAGGGATTATACCTAAGCCCTGAATTCAAGTCTTAGGACCCACACCAAAAAAAAAAAAAAAAGTTAGATGCTGGTGGCTCCTATAATCCTGACTCCATAGGAGGCTGAAATCTGAGGATCATGGTTTGAAATCAGTTCAGGCAGAAAGTCTGTGAGCCTCTTATCTCCAATTAATTACCAAAAAGATGGAAGTGGAGCTGTGGTTCAAGTGGTAGAGTGTGTGCCTTAGTTCAAGCACCAGCACCAGCACAAAGCCAACTAAACAAATAAAAAACTATCTTCCCCAGTACTTGCTAGGCAGGGGAAACGATATGAATAGTGTCACCTCTGAAGGAACAGGGAGACTTTGGGAAGGGGGGGCTTAGAGAGAGAGAGAGAGAGAGAGAGAGAATGAGCTTTTGTTATGCACAAGGGGGAGATCCCATTTCAGGATCCCAAGGCCCTAGGGCATCCTAACCTATATACCAGAGAGCATATCAGGAAAAGTTGTACCAGAACGTTCTGGGAAGACTCTGTGTGTGACTCAAGTCACTTTTCTCCTTTGTGTTCCTCGCAGGACCCCCTGTCATCATTGTACCCCCAGAGAATCACACAGTCAATGCCACGCAGGATGCTTCCTTGGCCTGCCAGGCTGAGGCATACCCTGCTAACCTCACCTACAGCTGGTTCCAAGACGGCATCAATGTTTTCCACATTAGGTGAGGTCACCCACACTTGGGGCTGTGGTGATAGAGAACTGATGAGCAGTCTTTGCGGAGCCCTTTGGTTGGGTAAGACTTAGACCCTCCTCACACATGCCATCTTGCAGCCGGCTGCAGTCCCGAGTGCGGATCCTGGTGGATGGAAGCCTTCGGCTGCAGGCTGTCCAGCCGGATGATGCTGGCCGCTATACCTGTGTGCCCAGCAATGGCCTTCTGCACTCGCCCTCCGCCTCTGCCTATCTCACTGTGCTCTGTAAGCCTGACCCCAGCTCCTTCTAGAGTCTGTTCCCTCCCCTAGGCCAGCACAAGGCCTTTTCCCTCAACCTCGACCCTGTTTCTCCTCCAGACCCAGCACAGGTGACTACAATGCCTCCTGAGACGCCCCTGCCCATAGGAATGCGGGGGACGATCCGATGCCCAGTTCGTGCGAACCCCCCACTGCTATTTGTCAGCTGGACCAAGGATGGGCAGGCCCTGCAGCTGGACAAGGTATGCACGTGGGGCAGGGGGAATACAAGTCTTAGCTTGGTAATATTGGGGTATAAGGCCTGGAGTGGAGTTAGCTCCGTGCCTAAGAAACATACACTTGGATGTTGGCAAAGAAGCATCAATCCTGTTCTGGGGGTAGAACAGCAACAGAGACCCTGTGGGGAGGCCAGGGATGGAATAAATGCCTTTCTCTCAAGCATAATTGATGACAGATCAGTAACAGAGTCTTTGGTAAGGAGCCTTGGAGGGTGAAGATCATTCCATGCAGAAATCATGACCCAGAGGCAGGACACAGTATAGGGTGCTTTTGGAATAATGAATTGGGCAATTTTATGGGAGCTGCAGAGAGTGCCTGTAGGGACACACGTGGTGTAGAAAAAGCTATAAAGTCAGGTTGGGACCTAAAGTGGGGGGGGACAACAACTCCATGCCAATTTAATACTACTTCATTCCTAAGTGACCGGGTGCTTTGCCTGCAGAGACAACAGATTCCTTGGGGCCTAGCATTGCTTTATTTAGTTATTTAGTTAGTTACTTATTGCCAGTCCTGGAGCTTGAATTCAAGGCCTGGGCAAGGTCCTTCAGCATCTTTTGTTCAAGGCTAACACTCTATCACTTTGAGCCACAGGGCTACTTCCAGCTTTTTCTGAGCAATTTATCAGAGATAAAAGTTTCAGCCTGGGGCTGGTGGCTCATGCCTGTAATCCTAGCTACTCAGGAGGCTGAGATCTGAGGATCATGGTTCAAAGCCAGCCCGGGCAGGAAAGTCTGTGAGACTCTTATCTCCAATTAACCTCCAGAAAACTGGAAGTGGCCCTGTGGCTAAAGTGGTAGATTGTTATTCTTGAGCTGAAGAGCTGAGGGAGACCACCCAGGCCTCATGACTGTAAAGATGCTGTACAGAGTGGTCACAGTTACATGAGTAAGGCAATGAGAACATTACTTGTTGATCATTGTTACCCCTTCCCTGTTGTTGTTCCACTATCCCTTCCTCCACGCCCCCTCACCAAAGTTGTAAAGTTCGTTCCCAATATACTGTCCTGTGAGTATCCTTGTTGCAATGGGCATGAGATTCTTATCTCCAATAAACCACCAGAAAACTGGAAGTGGTGCTGTGGCCCCAGTGGTAGAGAGCTTGCCTTGAGCTGAAGAGCTGAGGGACAGCACCCAGGCTCAGAGTTCAAGCCCTGTGACTGACAAAAACCAAACAAAAGTTTCATGGACTTTTCTGTCTGGGCTGGCTTTGAACCTCGATCTTCAGATCTCAGCCACCCGAGTAGCTAGGATTACAGGCACAAATCAGTGATCCCTGGCTCTCCTTGCATCTTTGAATCTCAGGGATTTTACAATAGTAGTACTCAAAATTTTGTTAAATATTTAAAAACTCTATAGGCAATTGGAGCTAGAATATTTTTTCCAGCAAAGATGTATAACAAATATCAGAGTCAGAGCTGGGGAATGTGGCTTAATGGTAGAGTGCTTGCCTAGTATGCATGAAGCCCTGGGTTTGATTCCTCAGTACCACTTTAAAAGAAAAAGCCAGAAGTGGTGCTGTGGCTCAGGTGGTACAGTGCTAGTCTTGAGCAAAAAAGCTCAGATGAGTGCTCAGGCCCTGAATTCAAGCCCTAAAATTTATATATATATATATATATATATATATAATATATATATATATATGTTAGATATATGTTATATATGTGTTATATATAATATGTATGTGATCTATCTCTATCTATGTATCTATGTATCTATGTATCTATGTATCTATCTATCTATCTATCTATCTATCTATGTATCTATCTATCTGAGCAATCAGGAGTTGAGTTCATGAGCTGGAATGGACCATGAGAGGTGGTGTGAGCTGTTGAGATAGTGTAGGTTAGGGGTTATGAAGTCTGAGCTGATGAAGATGGATGGGCCCTGTGCTCAGACAGCAGTATTCAGATGGGGATTGGAAAGGATCACACTTTATTGAGGAGGATAATGAGAGGTGGGCTTGATGTAGAAATAGGAGCTGGTTTGGGATGGAGGATGCAGAATTGGGTGATGAGGGCAGGGAGGTCACTGCAGGCAGGTAGTCCACATGGCACATCTCCAGGGGAATCATTCATGCAGGCCCCCGCAGCTGTGCAATCACAGCCTCACACACACTGCGTGGCCCCTGTAGAGGAAAGGGGAATGGAGAGCTGGAGTGCAGAGAGTGGGTGAAGCACTTAAGTTGTGGAGTGCCTGAGCAGTCTTTCTCTACTTTGGTGTTGCCTCTGGTGCCTAGCCTGGCCTTGGTTGAGTTTCTTCCTCTAGTTGTCATCTTCTCTGCCCTCCAGTTTCCCGGCTGGTCCCAGGGCCCAGAAGGCTCACTGATTATTGCTCTGGGGAATGAAGATGCTCTGGGAGAATATTCCTGCACCCCCTACAACAGTCTTGGTACAGCCGGACCCTCTGCTGTGACCCGTGTGCTGCTCAAGGTGAGGTCCACATAGGCCAGAAGCCTGCCAAGACATTAGGTTAGGTGGCGGATGATTTGTGTTTAGCTCAGAGTGATGGGGTGGGGTGGGACAGACTCTTGTGAGGAGGAACTTCCAAATCTGTGTTTCCCCTGGTGGCCACAGCAGCCACTGTCAGATGACATCCCACAGGTTTGTGTAGAGATGGTGCCAGAGAGGTGGAATGCCAGCCACCTAACACACTTACCAAATATATCTGTTTTAGCCCTGGCTAGTCTTCACCCCTGCTGCCTCCTCTCTGGGGCTGTGAGAAAGGGAGTGAAGTGGTGAGAGAGAGGGTGATTGGTAGAGGTTTGAACATCTCCAGAGAGTCTCGCAGGACCAGCAGTCCTTTGCTGTGCCACCAGTTCCCTGCAGCAAATACCTATGGGGACTGAGACAAAGCTAGGGAGTAAGTGAGAGGCAGAGATGAACACAGAGAGATGGACACAGACTGTACAATATGACAGGGAGCTCAAAAGGGATGGGCCCAACCTTAGACAGAGCTGCAAGAGCGGCCTTGAGGGAGGCCCCTCCCAATGCAGAGCTGGCCCACAGGCTCCCCCAGCTTTTATAGAACGGCCTAAAGAAGAATATTTTCAAGAAGTAGGGCGGGAGCTGCTCATCCCTTGCTCTGCCGGAGGAGACCCTCCTCCAACCATTTCTTGGGCCAAGGTAAGGTGCCTGATCCCCTATTCCTGAGCCTCTGGCCATTTAATGGGAAAGAGCATGTTCTCAGAGGGAGGGTTCCTGGAGGGTGGGGAGAAGCCATGACTCCTGGAGAGATGAGTGGCCTCCTTGGTGAGGGGTGGCTGCGTGTGTCCTCAGGGCTGACCAGTGGTTCTCTAGGTGGGCCGGGGGCTGCGGGGCCAGGCTCAGGTGGACAGCAACAACAGCCTCATCCTGCGACCATTGACCAAAGAGGCCCACGGACGCTGGGAATGCAGTGCCAGCAATGCTGTGGCCCGAGTGGCCACTGCCACCAACGTCTATGTGCTGGGTTAGTGGTTGGACAGGGAGATGGGCCTGGGAGAATTCATGTGGAACGGGAGACTGAAGAGTCAATTGTAGAGTCCCAAATGGGGGATTGAGGGTATGGGACTCATGGGATGATAGATGGAAGATAGAGCCCCCCACCCCTATCCCCTGCCCCCACTTGCTTTTCACCTTCCCTTAGGGCTTGGACCATTTTCCTTCCATTCCCCCTACCCAGGTACCAGTCCTCATGTGGTCACCAATGTGTCTGTAGCACCTTTGCCCAAGGGTGCCAATGTCTCCTGGGAGCCTGGCTTTGATGGTGGCTATCTGCAGCGATTCAGTGTCTGGTATACCCCATTGTGAGTGACTTGTTCCCATCTTCACCCTGGGTCTATCAGGCCCTCTGCCCTTTCCCCCTGATTCCTAGCTGTGTCTTCCTTCTGGGGCCCTGTTTCCAGACTCTTAGAATTCAGAGTCCAGGCCCTGAGAGGTTGGGTGGTTGAGCAGAGGGAGGAAGCCAGTTCTCTGATCTTCCTCTTCCAGCCTTTCTGAACTTCCTCTCTCATGAACTCATGAACCATTCTCCATGTTTCCCAGGGCCAAGCGTCCTGACCGAGCTCACCACGACTGGGTGTCTCTGGCAGTGCCTGTGGGGGAAGCCCACCTCATAGTGCCAGGGCTTCAGCCCCACACTCAGTACCAGTTCAGTGTCCTGGCTCAAAACAAGCTGGGCAGTGGGCCCTTCAGTGAGATCGTCTTGTCTGCACCAGAAGGTGAGAGACCTTCCATCCCAGAGCAGCAGACCAGATACAGGAAGGAGAAAGGCTGAGGGGAAAGGTGGTTAGATGCTTGGAAATGGGGGTCAGAAGTGGGCAGAGGTACTGGGCAGCCTGGGGTACAGAAGGACTCTAGCAGAATGGCTGAGTCCCTGAGGACTGTGGAAGGCCAGGGGAGGGGTAGCATGAACTCTTATCTTGCCCATCTGCCCTATTCAGGTCTTCCCACCACACCAGCTACCCCCAAGCTTCCTCCGACAGAGATGTCACCTCTCTTGTCACCTCCTCGAGGTCTGGTGGCAGTCAGGACACCCCGGGGAGTTCTCCTGCACTGGGATCCTCCAGAAATGGTACCTGAGAGGTTGGATGGCTATGTCTTAGAAGGACGGCAGGGCTCCCACGGCTGGGAGGTGCTGGACCGGGCTGTAGCCGGGACAGAAATGGAGCTGCTGGTGCCAGGCCTCATCAAGGTAGATGCTGGGGGTGCCCTTTGAACATTGTTTAGTGTCCCATCCATTCTCCAGATCTCATTGTCTCCCTGATCTGACCATCTTCACCTCCCCTTTTCTACCTCATCCTTACCTCCCAACTGCAAAGTCTTGGTAAATGGGGTTTGCCATGGGCACTTTTGGTGTCTGACCCCTTTCCTGGCACTTCACCCTTAATCTCCAGGATGTCCTCTATGAGTTTCGTCTTGTGGCTTTTGCGGGTAACTACGTCAGTGATCCCAGCAACACAGCCAATGTCTCCACTTCTGGTGAGGACTTAGTGGGAAGGAAGGGTTCTGGGAGGTTTGGGGGTTCTCATCCCACTGACTCGCCTAGTCCCTTTCCTAGGCCTGGAAGTCTACCCCTCACGCACACAGCTCCCAGGTCTCCTACCGCAGCCCGTACTGGCTGGTGTGGTAGGTGGGGTTTGCTTCCTGGGCGTGGCTGTCCTAGTGAGCATCCTGGCTGCCTGCCTCATGAACCGGCGCAGGGCTGCCCGGCGTCGACGCAAGCGCCTCCGCCAGGGTAGGTTCCAGCACCCTCATTCCTCCTCTCCCTCCTCTCTCCTGTATCCTCATCCCTTGGGTGCTGAGAACTTAACTACTACCTGAAGAGTCTGCCCATCCCTAAGCCCCTCCTACCTAGGAGAACAGTCCCTCCCTTCTGCATGGTCCATGTACCTGCTTGTAGTCCTGGACTAGGCCTTGCCTAGTCTTCCTAGCTAGACAGGGTTTGGGTTGGGCACCTACTGTCAGGTGACATCAGTGCCCCAGGGCTCAGGTTTTAGTTGTGTCACCTCCTGATCTCACATCCTTACAGATCCACCTCTGATCTTCTCCCCACCCAGGAAATCAGCATCACAGTAAGTCCTTCTGTCTCTCTGGTTTCCTTCCACCTTCCCTATTCTACCCAGCAGTATCCTCTGCTTCCTGTTCTGTACCTTTGGGACCAATAGGAGGGTGGGAAATGAAGTTAGAGGGAGGTGAGGTGAGCGAGCAGAGGCATCATCCTGAGGCAGTCCTGCGCTGTAAAGTTCCCACCACCGCGTTGGTTCTTCCCTCGCTTGCTTTCCTGGTTCTACCCTATGGTACAACAGGGTGGTTGTACAGCAAACCTCTCAAGACTAGACCCTGATGTCCTGTCCTTCCCCAGCGCTGCTCCTGGCTCTGGCAGTCCTGACAGTGTGGCCAAACTGAAGCTCCAGGGCTCCCCTGTCCCCAGTCTACGGCAGAGTCTGCTTTGGGGAGAGACCGCCCGGCCTCCTAGCCCTCGTCCAGACTCACCACCTGGTCGGGGGCCCTTACCTCTGGAGCCCATTTGCCGTGGGCCAGATGGGCGATTTGTGATGGGGTCCACTGTGGGGGCCTCCCAAGAAAAATCAGGTCTGGAGCAGGTAGAGCCTCGGAACCCAGCCCAGCGTCTGGCCCAGTCCTTTGACTGCAGCAGCAGCAGCCCCAGTGGGGTACCACAGCCCCTCTGCATTGCAGATATCAGCCCCGTGGGGCCCCCTGCAGCAGCCTCCCCCGGCCCCCTGCCAGGACCTGGACCTCTGCTCCAGTACCTGAGCCTGCCTTTCTTCAGGGAGATGAATGTGGATGGGGACTGGCCTCCGCTTGAGGAACCCAGCCCTGCTCCTCTCCCAGATTACATGGATACGAGACTCTGTCCCACCTCATCTTTCCTTCCACCCCCAGACTCCCCGCCTCCATCCTCCAGGGTGGCATTTCCTGGGGCTGTGATAGGGGCTGGGCCCACCTCAGAACCTCCTTACACAGCTTTGGCCGACTGGACACTGAGGGAGAGGGTCCTGCCAGGCCTTCTCCCTGCTGCCCCTCGGGGCAGCCTCACAAGCCAGAGCAGCGGAAGGGGAAGTGCTTCCTTCCTGCGGCCCCCCTCCTCAGCCCCTTCTGCAGGGGGCAGCTACCTCAGCCCTGTTCCAGGAGATACCAGCAGCTGGGCCAGTGGCCCTGAGAGATGGCCTCGAAGGGAACATGTGGTGACAGTCAGCAAAAGGTGAGGGCAGGGCCTGGCAATCCTTGCTCTGGCCCCAGTTTTGTCCTGTTATTCTGCATTTCTCCTCACCACCACCCTGCTCTTTTTCCACTCTCGAATCAAAAGACCCTGTCTTCTTTTCGAAGTATTTGCTAATATCCAGAGATTTCCACATGAAACCTCGGGCTCCACTTAAGTTGAAGACCCCAGGTTGAGACTTTCCTGTATACCTCCATTCCTCTACCCACTGCATGCATTTGTCTCTTTTAACAGGAGGAACACATCAGTGGATGAGAACTATGAATGGGACTCAGAATTCCCTGGGGACATGGAATTACTGGAGACTTGGCCCCTGGGCTTGGCAGGCTCTCGACCTCGACCTGAAGTTGAGCCAGAGCTAGGTATAGCTGTCCCACATCCCCTCTGCCACCATGACCCATCTGTTACCAGTCAGGACCTAAGCTCCAGGCTTCTTACTGTGCACTGTGTCCTGCTCCCCTGGTTCACTACACTGCAAGGCCCTTTGGAATATTAGGCTTGAGCTCTTTACCCAGTGAACTACAAGGCCTCCTCTCTTCTTGTCCTGCCTTCCTTTTGCAGGTGCTAAGACTTTAGAGGAAGGCTGCCTTCTGAACACTGTCCATGCTGCTGGCCCTGAGGCCCGCTGTGCAGCCCTTCGGGAGGAATTCCTGGCCTTCCGCCGCCGCCGAGATGCCACCAGAGCCCGGCTACCAGCCTATCGACAACCAAGCCCTCATCCGGAACAGGCCACTCTGCTTTAAGGCTGGGATAAGGTGCATGGACCTGCAGAGAAGCCTACAGTGTGACCTAGCTGCAATCTCAGAGGCTGCTCCTGCCATTTTGTGCTTATGCACAGAGCTTGAGCTTGGGTGAACTTGGTATGGAATGTATGTGCTGGCCCCCTAGGTGGGTCTGGATTGGAGTGGGGCTCTTAGTTTGCCTGTGTGTGTGTGTGTGTGTGTGTGTGTGTGTGTATGGTTGTGGTGTGGGTGAAGTTTTTTACAGGTGAATAAAAGTCTGAAAAATGTTTCTATGTACTATGTACCTTTGAATCTAAGAGAGGTGGGAAATTTACTGGACCCTTAGAGAGTAGTTTAGATAGCTGGGTATGGTGGTCCATGAGAGGCTTAGGCAAGAGGATTAAGGAGTTCCAGTCCTGTCTAGGCTACATAGTGAGTGTGAGGTTAGCCTGGACTGCATAGCAAGACCCTATCTCCAAACCAATCAAACAACAACAACAAAAACCCCAAATTGAACAACTAAACTCATCCTCAGGGTGAGAAAAAGCAAGAGGCCAGACATTAAGCCCTGAGAAAATACAAAATTCATGGAGACCTGCCTTTGCCCTTGAGGAGTTCCTTCTAGCCAGTGAGGCAGACAAGTAAAGAAATGGTTACAGTATGATGTGATAAGTTCTCATGATAAAGCTGTTTATTGGTTATTATGTCCAGCACAAAAGAAAGAGTTCAGGTCAAGGTAACATTTAGTGAAAGTTTACAGTGTGTTCTGGGACAAACACTGCTTCTGGGAGAGCCTTGGGATCCTCACAGGTGGTACTAATGATAATAGAATTCACTATGGGCCAGGTACTGCTGGAAGCTCTTTACCTGTCCTGTGTTAATTTTCTGCTGCTCTGGATTTGTTTTGTACTGTTAGTTTGTTTTGTAGACTAGGGACCTGAAGCATAAAGTGTTTTAGGGATCTGCCCAAAAGCCACACAGTGGGTAAGGGGCAGACCAAGTGAGATGCCTGTTAAGGAAAGAAAGGCATCCTGGGCAGAGGATTCACATATGAAAGGTTCAGAGCAGTAAAAGGATGCTCCCTAGGTCTGGGTAGGATAAGGAGGGGACAAAGAAAGCTAAGGTCAGAGGGACTGCTTGTTGATATGTGAATAGTAGGTTCAAGGGAGCCTCTACCCTAGGTGAAGAGGTCTACTGGCAGTTGAGAGTAGAGACTCTACCTCAGGACTCTGCCCAACAAACCTGAAAGGTTTGCCCATTGCCTCCTAAACTAGGTTGATCACCATAAGACACAGAGGAACTCCTGCATTCTCCCCTTCCCACTTTTTGTTTCCACAACGGCATTGGATTGTTTGTTTACAAGTTATTTGGAGAGGTTCCATTCGTCAGTTGGTCTGTGTGTATGTGTGTGCCTGCACGCACAGAGCGCTGGCATTGTGAACTTGCTAGGCATGTGTTCTACCACCAGAGAGAGGCCTTCTCTTCTGATCCCTCCAGAGATCAGATCCAGGTTACCAGGTCCTAGATGAGGCGATGAACGAGGTGATGAAGAAGTCACTGTCTGAACCCTGGGTCCCATACTGACATCGCCCCTGGGCTCAGGGAAGGAGTGACCTCACTGTTAGTTTCTGCCCAGGCTTGAACTAGATGGCAAGCAAGACCACGTGGGAGTGCTGTCCTGGCCTGCTCGCCCCAGTGAAGTCACACCCCAGACAGTTGGAGGGTGAGGCTCTTCCTGTGCCTCTATTTACCTTAACAGGAGGCTCCGTTTCCACAAAAACACGCCCACAGTTATGAGCTAGTCTGAGCAGAAGGTGTCCTACTGGAAAGCAAGATCTATGCGACCCTGAATAGAGGCTAAGGTTCTCATGCTGGAGACCACTGTGGAGGCACCGTGGATTCCCTAGAACCTCTTTTTTTTTTCTTTTTTTTTGTCCCAATTGTCTCAATCTCTCCTGTCTTCTACCCTGCGGTGCCTTTAAACCCTCTAGGCCCTTGCCCCGCCCCTGGTCCGCCCCGTCCAAGGCGGGACCCTTCTGAAAACCTCTGGCCCTCCCGGCCCGGTGCTCCACTCGCGCTGCAAGCCTTGCGGAGTGTGCACAATCAGCCAAGTCCTGTAGGTGGGTGAGCTGGCCCCAAGGGACCGAGGGTGGGGGCAGGGTGAGGACAGGGTGCGGGGTGTACATGCGGTGTCAGAAGCAGAAGGCCGGAGCTTAAGATTTGTTCTGGGGATCTCGAGGATCAAAGGCTGGCGCCCAGGCAAAGGTCCGGAGGACGGCTCGGCTACGCCAAATGCTGCCAGGTCCTGACCCGGTGCGTGGTTAGGCAATGAGTCGGGCGAGGTTTGCGGGTGCACCGACGGGCGTCCACGCCGAGCAGGGCCCTCGGGATCGAGCCCCGCCCGTCCACCCCAGCGCCGTCCCGGAGACCGGGCGCGGAAAGGCGGGCGTCGGCTGTCAGCAGGGTGGCGGGGAGTGGCGGCGCGGACCGCGTTCTGGCGCCAGGCCCGGTGCGCACGGCCCGGCCCGGGCTCCGTGCTCCCGGGCTTCACTTCCTGCTTTCCGGGGCACGTGTGGGCACTGCCTGCCCTTTGCGCCCTCGAGGGCGCCCTCTGTGCACCTCTGCGGACTCGCCCGGGATGGGTGGGTGGGTGGGGGGTCTCCGTGCGTGGGTCCTGCAGCAACCTCGCCCTCTCTGAGACCCCGTCCTGTCCAGGAAGAGTCTCCTCACCTCGGGACCGCATCCCCGACTCCGTTCCACGCGCCCCGTCGGTGGGAGGCGGGGAGGGGGCTCCCAGCCGCTTCCCACGTCCTCCCATCCGGGCCCGAACCCCGCCGCCCCCTCCCCCCGGCTGTGCCCCCTGCTGCTGGGAAAGCCGGTGGTGGCCCCGGGCGGGCTGCCCAGACCACTGCGTCACCCGCGGCGGGCGGGCGGGCGGTGGGTGACTCATCCGCGGTAACGGCCTAGGGCGTGGCCATGGGGGTGGGACGGCAGCCGGAGGGGCTGGACCTGCAGGCCGGAAGAGGACCGCTCCTTTCCACGGTCCTGCAGGCTTCCTGGAGCTGGTACCCTGAGAGGTCCTGGGCGCGCGGGGTGGGGCTGGGGGTACTTGAATTAGGGGGACAGAAAAGCAAAAAGCGGCTATAGAATGTGGAGAGGCAGTGAATGGGGAGGCCCCCCTCTGTCCTGGACGGGCGCCCCAGATCGCCATCCCCAAGCGCTCCCCGGGGACTGCTCTCCCACCTCCAGACCCCTTCCCATTGCACTGGGAGCGGGGCGCGCGCGGGTCTAGGCAGGGCGGATCTTCCGGGCGCCCTCATTCCGGTACCTACACAAAGTCTTTCTCCTCCACTGCCCCCTTCCTACCCCGATGCCTCCGTCCCTCTGTCCCTCTGTCGCCCCCCTCCCCAGGGGATTGACCTCTCATCTTTTTTTTTCACTTCCCTCTTTTCAAATGTGAGACTCCCAACACTTTCTCCTCTGGGGCGATTTCTTCTCCTTGATCACTTCCCTGAGTCCGCTTCTTAACCACCAAACTGGAGACTTCTTAATACCTCCACATGCTCTCCAGGCCCTCCTTAGCTGCCTCCTGGGGGAATCTCTCACCTGGTTGTCCCCAGGGCTTGAGAACCCTACTCAAGGCCCTGTGCTCTGAGCCTCCACTTTAGAGTCTGATTGGAGAGGGTGTTCCTGCCTGAGTCCTCAACCACCCTGCCTCCATTCCTCTGTTTGGTACACAGGAGCCATGGCAACGCTTCCACTCCCTCCCCTCCTCCAGAGCTTGCCTTGTGGCTTCCGGTTGGTGTGGCTGGGGCTTTCTCTTCAGCTGTGGACTCTGGGTGGTGTGGGGGGCTGCCCTTTGGGGAAGGGGGTGGGTAGAGAATTTCCCTAGGGCAACCCCCCTAGTCACAGTTCTCCAATTGTCCTGACTTGGGCCTACTCCCTGTGACATTTCTGCTAGAATAGTCCCCAGAGTTCCCTGGTGTCTCATCCTCTAAGTGAATGGAGAGTCCCCTTTGTCTTCCCAATTAAACAACCCAGCCAAGAATCCTGAAATCTACCACCCCCTCCCCATGCAAACACACATTACCACTCTGAGTGCCCTTTTTCTTCAGCACTGACTTCAAGAGGGATGAGGTAAGCCACCAGCCCAAGGTCTGGGTGGAGTCCAGTGCTTTTTTTGCGGTCCCTCCTCCCCTTTCCCAGCTATTATAACCTCCTGGGTGGGTTGAGGGTTATTCTCACAGCTGCATTCAGCTCTAGAGCTTAGGTTCTCACCCCCCAAGTTGTTGTTCAGCTATTGTCTCCCCTTGGGATTCCTGACTCTGGGCATCTTCCCACCTGTCCTTCAGCTGGGCTAATCTTTTCTCCACACCCCAGTAGGAGACTGGCTGGTTTCTCTTCCTTTGAGGCTTGTCTGGAGTAGGTCTCCTGGGTGTCACCAGGGTGGGTCTCTCCAGTTGCAGCAGCTGCAGTCCATCAGCTGCAGGCTGCCTTGAGGGGGTGGGAAGGAGAGACAGCTGCTGGCCAGGCTGGGCCTGTCACATCCCAGAATTTCTGTCCTGTGGCTCTGGCACCTAAAGACTGGAGAGCAGTGGTCTCAGAGTGGAGCAGAGACACTGCAGCTGGAGGCCATGACCCTGCAGCTGTGAGCCCTGGAGAGGCAGCCTCCCCTCCCCTCTGTTCCAGAGTGGGCCTAGGTGGAAGGAGACACTGGTGGGCTCTGTCTCCCCCTCTTAACCCCTATGTCTGAGTTAATCACTATCCTGCCCTTGCTTTATCTGTGTTTCCTCTGACCACAGACTGATGGGCAATCGTGAAAGAGGCACATGACCATAGTAAATGTGCTTCCATATGAAAGGTCTGGAATTGGGCCAGGAAAAGGGGGCTTGCTGTTGAGAGCAGCCCTTAGTTTTCTCTCTTCCTTGGAGCCATTCTCTGGGGGTCAGAGGTTTACAGGCTTACATAGACGGAGTAGCAGCTGAGGCTGGACCCGGGAGGGTGAGGAAGTAAGTCTTCTATTCTGCTCAGGCCTCAGCCACTCCACCCCCTTCCTTTTCCCAGCTGATTGTGTGTGTGGCCACTGATATAGGTCAGGACCCAGACTGACATTTATCTGACCCCATTTTCAGGCCAGGGGAAGTAGGGAGTGAGTTGTTGCTAATGAAAGTGACTGATTTATGGGGAGGATCTTGCTGGAAATGTGCAGCTTGATAACCTAGAGTAGAAAGGAACAGAGTATAGGGGAGGGGACTGACCTGGGACATGCAGCCTTTGGGGTTGAGAAGTATGAGGATTGTCAGAGGCAGCCTGGCTCCTTTCATTGTATGGTCAGAGCCCCAAGGCCCATTGAGGGGGCGGTGGACTGTTTAACCTGGGGTATATGGGAGAAGGATCCAGAATGACTTCATCCTTAAGTCTGATCTGGCCTAGGTCCAAATGTGGGGAGAAGGAGTGGCTTTCTTTCCTCTCCTTGAATGTAGGTGGCAGTCTTGGGGCTCTTCCTTTGTGAGCAAACCAGAGACAGCTGTATTTTAGAGCTGAGAGAAGAGCCCATCCAGGGAGGGGGCTGGCAATAGCAAATGAGACACTGTGTGTCCTTCTCGGCTCCTGGCTACCCTTAGCATCAGCAGTATTACCAGGACATGGGTATGGATGGGACCTTGGCAGTGAGGTGGTGGGTAGGGCAGGCTGCCCACAGTGAGCAAGGTACTGCCAACAGGCCAGTGGCCAGAAACCACCTACTTCTTGCTAACCAAGGTCCTCAAATGAAACCCTCCTGTGTGCTTCCCCATCCTGCCCTCCCTTCCCAGGTTCTCCTAAAAAAATGCCACCCAGGATTCCAGTATTAGTTTCCTGTTTTTGCTGTAACAAACCAGGAAAGTAGTGAGACACATGCAAAATCTCCTGATTCTAGAGACCCCAAGAGGGGTCTTACTGGCCAAGGTCCTAGTGTCGGCAGGACTCAGAGCTGCATTCTTGGGGGAGGGGCTAGGAGACATCCATTTCCTGATCCATTTCCTGCACTTTGGGGGCTGCAGCAGGCCACCTGCTTTGCTTGCTTCAGGCCCCTGCCATGACTCTACCTCCGCTTCCTTCCTCTCTTCTCCCACTCTTGACTACTTGCCTCCCTCTTCTACTCTGAAAGACCTTGGTGATTATATTGGGCTCACCTGGATGATCTAGGATAATCTCCATCTCGTGATCTTTTCATCACATCTGCAAAATTCCTTTTTGTCGTGTAAGGTGATGTATCCACAGGTTCTAGAAATTAGGACATGGATACCTTTGGGGCGGAAGGCATTATTCTCCTTACCAGCTCCTAGAAGGGAAAGGAGGATGTGTCGAGGGCCTGGTTTCTCACAGAAAGTTTCCTTTGCCTGCTAAAATGTGGTGAAGGGTCCACCCACGCTGACTTCTTCCAGAAAGTTTTCCCAGACTGCTGGTGCCCTTCCTCTTCTAGTAATTTAAACAACATATGATCTGAACTGTGCTGTTTAATATTCATTCTGTACAGTCCTTATCCACTCAGCTGTACCATATTTGTCTCTCTTGATGACAGTGTGGGTACATTAGTACCTCAAGTCTTTTTCTTAATCCTCAGTATAAGTAGTAGGTGCTCAGTTAAAACCCAGTGATTGATGGAGGGTAGGTCCATTCAGCCCTCTGGGGCCTGTGTAGGTTTCAGAAGCTGCTCCACATTCTTTTCCTTTCTCTGAGTTGTTTTCTTTTCCAGAAGAACAGCATAGATGAGAATGAACAGTTTGGTTGTGCAAAAGCCAACCACCCTACATTCCACATATACCCCGTATTCTATTCCAGCAGATCTTATATGCTTTATTTTCACAGTAGAACCATTTGCTCAGATAAGATTTAGAGAGAACCTTAATGTGACAGGCAGACTGCTTGTCATAGAAGTGTAGGAACTGCAGACTATGTGAAGCCCATACCTCGCAGGGTTCTGAGCAGCACTGCTAGCCCATTTCCAGGAGCTAGGATGAAAGTCCTGTCACATGTCAATAGCTCTGATCCTCGCCCTTGAGTCCTACTCTAAGGGATGTGTATCTCCGTAGGCAGAATCCCCTGCTGTATGGTCTTCGGAGCGTTAACCTGCTATTGTCCTCTCCCCCAGCTCTCCACAGCCACCACAAGTGCTCAGAAATGGCCAACAGGGGACCTTCATATGGCCTGAGCCGGGAGGTGCAACAGAAGATCGAGAAACAGTATGATGCGGACCTAGAACAGATCCTGATCCAGTGGATCACCACCCAGTGCCGCAAAGATGTGGGCAGGCCCCAGCCTGGGCGGGAGAACTTCCAGAACTGGCTCAAGGATGGCACGGTGAGAGCCAGGTCCCCACTAGCCTAGAGGAGCAGGGGGCCCAGAGCTGAGACTGGGGTTTGTTTAACCTGAGTAGGGAAGAATGAGAACATGCAGTGCTAACTTCTTCCTCACCTCATATCTTTATTGAGATTTACCTTACATGATGGGACAGTAAGTGTAAATGTCCCCTGCAGCAGAAGGCCCCAGGTGACTATGAGAAAGAGTAGCTGTGCAGGGAGTAATAAGTTGGACAAAAAATGTACTTACTGCCTTACGTATGTAACTGTAACCCCTCTGTACATCACCTTGACAATAAAATTTTAAAAAAAAGAATAGCTGTAAGGAAAGAGAGTGGGAGGGTGGATTCCAGAAAGTTGTCTTAGAATAACAAGGAAGACTGAACACTGGCTTATTCTGGACTTGAGAAGCAGGACACTGGGCAGGAAGGACCATGAGGCTCCACCTGGGTTGGGAACCCTCTTTGATGACTGTGTCTGGTGCTGAAGATTGTACATACTGGTCTACAGTAGACACACCCTTACCTCTGCATACCTGCTGTCCTCACCCAGGTTTTGTGTGAACTCATTAATGCACTGTACCCTGAGGGGCAGGCCCCTGTAAAGAAGATCCAGGCCTCTACCATGGCCTTCAAGCAGATGGAGCAGATCTCCCAGTTCCTGCAGGCAGCCGAGCGCTACGGCATCAACACCACTGACATCTTCCAGACTGTGGATCTCTGGGAAGGTAGGCCAGGGTCCTGGGCTGTCATCTAGGAGACAGACCAGGGTTTGGGGGTAGGCCATCTTGACTAGAGAGAAAGGGTGGGTTTTGGAGTTTGGTCTCTTAAGACAAAGAACTCTGGATTAAGACGTTAAAAGGTGTTTGGAAGCCTGACCTATCTACTGAGGGATAGAGATGAACCCTGGTATCCAAGATCCTAGCCCTGCTGAGGTTCACATACATTCTTCTTTTTGCCAGGAAAGAACATGGCCTGTGTGCAACGGACACTGATGAATCTGGGTGGGCTGGCAGTAGCCAGGGAGGATGGCCTCTTCTCTGGAGATCCCAACTGGTTTCCCAAGTAAGTATTGCTAGAACAGCCCAGGACCTTTGTTGGCACAGTACACCTGTCCCTAGGAAGTGAAATGTCTCCCTGGATGTCAGTCATTTACACAGAGCTTCCTGTAACTCATCTCACTTAGCTTCTTACAACTCATAGGGGTGGCTGTCCCTTTGAAGAGATAAAGAAGGTAGCTCCAGACAGCTCAAGGCTTTCACTGGGAGAAGTGCTTCCCCTTGAGCTCTGTCCAGGGAAGAATTAATTGTTAGGGAACCTTCTGACCTCCTCCTAACCAGTACTTTTTTTCCCCCCACCAAGGAAATCCAAGGAGAATCCTCGGAACTTCTCAGACAACCAGCTGCAAGAGGGCAAGAATGTGATTGGGTTACAGATGGGCACTAACCGTGGGGCGTCTCAGGCAGGCATGACTGGCTATGGCATGCCACGCCAGATCCTCTGATTCCACCTTACCTATGCCCCTTCCCTCCCCTGAATGGTTAATATATATGTATATATATATGTTTTAGCAAAGACATTCCCTGAGAGTCCCTGGAGCACTCAAGCTCCCCTCTGCCAGGGTGTGTGTGGGGGAGGGGCATCCAGCCTGTCCTGTCACGGGTGCCTGTTGGCAGCCTTTTCCCTACGCTTCCTAATACATTCCATCCTTACACTCATCAAAACTGGACCAAAGTTTTCTCCTAGGACCAAAGTTTGGGTATTTTAGCACTCTCCTCTCCACTATGCCTCTCCTCTTTCTCTGACTTTTTTTGACCTTGAACTCTGTGCTCTTGGTCCATTCCTTGGCTGGGAGTCAGCGATGCTGCCTGTGGCCTGATGCACGTTGACCTTCATTCCACAAGTGTGCCTTTCCCGCAGCTGTGGCTACAGGGACTAATTTATAGGGAGGGCCTTATGGTGGCTGCCACTTACCACACATCTGGGCCATCCTTTCCTGGCAGAGGCCCCTTGGCTTCTCATTTTCCATTGCCCTTGCTGTGGCTAAGGGGTGGGATTGAGGGGGCGGGGGGCAGAAGGGCCGCTCACTGTGGTCTCAGACTCGAGGAATATGAGTTCAGTGATTTAAATAAAGAATCCCAGTCTTTTTTTGGATGGACTCTGGCTGTGTCTAAGGCTACTGTGCCCACTGCGGGGAAGGGAGGAAAACTGACAAAGTACACAGACTGGTACAGGGAAGAGGGCAGAGTGAAAGGTTGCCATGCTAAACCCTTAGTTTTACTTTTCCTCGCCATTCTCTGTCATTTGGTTTTAGAGAAGGGACAGGACCTCCAGCTGTCCTTTGGGTGAGAGCTTTAATGCAGAAAATGTGGATAATGGTTACAGGAAGGTGAGACCCTTATTACCTGGGAATGGAGCAGACCTGCTGGTGCTCATGACTGGACCAGCCCCTCCAGCCAGAGAAGCTCAACCACTGTAGGTGGGTGGAGGAGGATGCTGCCCCAATCTTGAGAAGTGCAGTTGTCTCCTGTGAGAAGCCTGCCAGGCAGCCTCAGGGCAAGGTGGAGTCCACTGCTGGAATTCCATTGTACTACCTTGAGGGCTGAAGGTGGGGTTTGTATTGGAGTGGAGGGGAATTGGGAGAGAATGAGTTGGTGGTAGCTAATGGAAAAAAAAAACTTGTGTTGGATCCAAAGCCATTGTGAGCTGCAGGCTGGGGAGAACCTAGAAGCGACCCAAGTCCCTTACCTGGGCCTTGGACCAAGATCATCAACCTTGTGTCAAGTTGTCTCCTGTTTCCTGCCAGCTCAACCCAGAAATGAATGTTTTGCCAATTGTTTACAACCTCTAGGTGTCACCTTCACTCCCAGGAATCCTAGGTCAGCCTCCTATATTGGATCCCACATTCAGTAGCCATTTCAAAGGCCTGGTGTCTAGGGTCCCTCTTTCTGCTGCTTTAGTATATCTGTATCTCCTTTGGAAGAGAAAGACACACATTATAGCTGAGGGTGTCAGATGACACGTGGTTTATAGCCACTGTGCTTTCATTCCACCCCCGGCCCACTTCTCTGCCTCTAGCTAGAAACACCTACTGTGTGTCCTGTCTCATACCAGTGTTTTGTAATTCTCAGCCTTATCCTGACACCACTACATTCTGGGAGAGATGGTTATTTGCTGCTGCACTCCCATGGGTTGTAACTCAGATAAGATAGGCTGCAGTCTATGTGCAAATTCCTAAAGGGTTAGCTGTCACCCCCTCCCCCACACCTTTATCTTCTATTCAGGAAGGCTTTGTGAAATAGAGAGGCCAGTAAGAGAATGATGTCATTGTAGAGAAAACAGTGAACTCACTTTTATACTAGGAAAAAAAATTGTGACCTTTCCTGACTTATGACTACTTTTTTTTTTTTTTTTTTTGGGTCCGGTTGTGGGGCCTGAACTCTGGGCCTGGGTGCTGTCCCTCAGCTCTTCAGCTCAAGGCTAGCGCTCTACCACTTTAAGCCACAGCGCCACTTCCGGCTTTTTTCTTTTTGCTTATGTGGTGCTGAGGAATCGAACCCAGGGCCTCAGGCATGCAAGGCAAGCGCTCTACCACTGAGCCACCTTCCCAGCCCCCTTATGACTACTTTTAAAGCTACAAATTATTGGCCACATTCTTGACAATTTTCTGAGATGCCCCAGTGCTAGTACTGACTCATCCTAGTAGACTCTCACAGAAATCAGGAGGTAGAGATCTGAGTACTATTGCTCTCAGTTTATCTCCTGGGTCTCACAAAGGGCAAAAACTTGCCAAAGAGTACATGGTAACTAAGTGGAAGAGCAGAGGTTTGAGCCCAGATCAACATAGCTGAAGGTCCAGTTCTGCCTGTGCTGTTACAGGCTAGGCCACAAGTGGGGCTGAGAAGTGACTGGGAGTAGGGAAAAGTGTTCCTCATCTGTAAAGTAAAGAACACAATTCCTAGTGAAGATAATGTGAGAGCTACGTGCAAATCGCTGCATACGAATGCTCACACATGCTCATAAAACAGAAGTGTGTTGCTGGGTGCCGGTAGCTCATGCCTGTAATCCTAGCTACTGAGGAGACTGAGATCTGAGGATCGTGATTCAAAGCCAGCCTGGGCAGGAAAGTCTGTGAAACTCTTATCTCCAATTAACCACAGAAAACCAGAAGTGGCGCTGTGGCTCAAGCGGTAGAGCGCTTGCCTTGAGCTGAAGAGCTGAGGGACAGCTCCCAGGACCAGAGTTCAAGCCCATGACCGACAAAACAAACAAACAAACAAACAAAAAATGGAAGTGTGGGGAATGAAATGTGGGGTTTGTGTGGTTGATGGGCTAGAGGAAAGCAGCACCACGTTCCTTCTGAGCACCGTCCAAGAAATGTTAGTTGCCCGCCCTCTCCTAGAGGAATGCTCACTTCCCTTCTGGCTGAGATCACCACCTGTCATGGTTGGTGAGCCTTCAGCTCTGTGTGTGTGTGTGTGTGTGTGTGTGTGTGTGTGTGTTGTATGTTTGTGTGGGGTTGGGAAAGGTGAGTGTGTGTATGCTGGTCCTGGGGCTTGAACTCAGTGCATTTTTGCTGAAGGTTAGTCCTCTATCACTTGAGCCGCAGTTTCACTTGCTTCTAGCTTTTTTTAAAAAATGGAGATGAGAATCTAATGAACTTTCCCAGTGGGGCTGGCTTTGAGCTTCAATTCTCAGATCTCTGCCTCCTGAGTTGCCAGGATTATAGGCATGAGTCACAAGTGCTCAATTCAGCTCCTTCCTTTTGGAGATGGCCTCCGGTTCACATCCCAAAACTTTTCTTGTTTTTCTGTTTGCTGCTTGTTAACATTTTATTTGATCTGAGGTCACAGTTTCATCCCTGGCTTGGCCTCTTTCATTTTTTCCTAGCATGATTTTAGGCCCTGGAGCCCAAGATAGGGTCCAGCTCTGATGCAGAAGGAAAAGTCCTCTGTATTAGTCCCCTGTTCTTGCCATTTCTCAGCCCATTCTCCGTGGCTTTCTAACACTGGTGTTTCTAACACTTCACGTGCAGGATTGTTCTAGCTGCCTGAAATACTCTGCTTTGGGTGGAGGCATGATTTGTATTTTTTTTTATCAACTTCAGGACTTTATCCAAGTCCTTGTTACCCATCCTGACCACCTTACAATTACACATGCCACCTCAGTCTACAACCCACCCTGCTTTCATTTATTACCATCTGGCACCAATATGTTTTACCTATTTTCTGTCTCCACCCTGTAAAGGCAGACTTTTGTTTGTTTTGATCATGAATATTGTAGATGCTAGATACATAATTGCTGAATGAGTGAATGAATCTCCTGGCCTGCTAACACAGTGCCCAGATAACCCAGAGCCATAGCAACCCAACTAACTGGTCACTTGATCCAAAATGGAATCCAGCTCATTTGTCAGTTCTCATGCTTCCTCATTGCTCATATCCAAAAAGTTAAAAATCCTAAGAAACTTCACTCCCCTGAAGCCACAGGACTAGAGGTTGGGAAGGAGCTGGAGGGTGGTGTGAATGCTTTGGGCCAATGGGAAGGATATTAAGGATTTGGAGTCAAAGCATGAGAGGGAGGCAGGATGAACAGGTAGGAGACTACTTTGGTTCATTTACTCTTCATGGGTTGAAGTGGAAAATTTCTGGGGAGGTGGAGGGAAAGTAGACTTGGCTCACAGTAGCCAATGGAAAGGAGAGTTGGGAAAGGGAGGAGTAAGAGAATTTCAGAATTTGAGATGCTCCTCCCCATTTGGCTCACCTGGGGATAAAAACATAGGCCTATTCATATTTGTGTGCACACAGATGTGAGGGGAATTGTCATATTAGGGTTGGGGGGCCTCAGGTAAAAGGCCATGGATCTGTGAGTGGGTGAGGAGTCTGCCTGTGAGTGTGTGTTTACCCAGGATTGAGGATAATGGGTGTGCAGAGGTGCTGATCCTGTGTGCGTAGGCATTCGTGTGTTTGTACATGGCTCTGTGGAGAACAATATGTCCCATTCCTGCCTCTATGGCTGAAGCTTGAGAAATTGGCAGAAGGCCCAAGGAACAGTGGAACAAGGAAAGGGCTGGACAATAGGACTCCAGGGAGGGAACAATAAAGGGCCTGGGATTAAATATGTTGAAGAAAAGGTTGAAAGAGTAAATTAGTAACTGTCTCCTTGTAAAGAAATAGGTTATAGCCCCAGTGGCCAGGGAAGTAGATTGCAAGGGGTGGGGGGAATGGGGGAAAGGGGGGGTCCTCTACTTGCTTCTAGAGAAATTTAGTTTAGACAATGAAAAATGATCCTCTTGACTCTGAAGGTTATTAGCCTCTGGAATCTCTGAAGGGTCAAGTGGAATGTCTTCAATAAATAGGACACATCTCATTTCCAAATGCAGGAAAATCACAGTTCTACCTGGGGAAACTCAGATACATGCTGTTTTTTTTTCATTCATATATTCATGTAGCAATTACTGAAGTTCTACTCTATGTCAGGCCTTTTGGGAATAGGGGATATTGATGCTCACAGTCTCTGCTCCATGATTATGTGCTGCTGGAGACTATACGTTCCTCCATCTCTTGCCAGTCCCCCTAATGCCCTGGTTGAATTCCTGAATGCCACAGGGAAGCTGAGGCTACCTCTTTCAGGGATCATCTCCCCTTCTGCCCTGGGGAGTTAGGGAGCTTGTCTGAAGGACTTCTCTAGGAAAAGAAGTCACTGGCTCTGTTGGAAGAGGTCAAGGGCTATTGGGGTAGAGCCTAGGATGGGAGTGGTCTGAGGCCTGAGTCAGGCTGATCCCAGGGATCAGCTAGGACTGAGAGAACAACATCACTGGGTCCTTGAAATGCATGTGGAGGGGCCATAAAAACACTGTGGCTCATGCCTATCATCCTAGCCACTCAGGAGGCTAAGATCTGAGGATGGCACTTCAAAGCCAGTCTGGGCAAGAAGGTCTATGAGGCTCTTATCTCCAATTAAATACCAGAAAACTGGAAATGGAGCTGTGGCTCAAAATGTAGAGTGCTAGCCTCGAGCAAAAAATTGCTCAGGGACAGTGCCAAGGACCCAAGTTCAAGCCCCACAACTGGACCCTCCCACCCCAAAAAAAAAGAAATAAAAGACCCACTCCCTTGGACATTGGAGCTATCACACTGCTTCAGCCCTGTGTTTGGAGGACCTGAATTTTGAATTGATTTTCTTTTTTGGAGGGGGCAATTCTGAGGTTTGAACTCAGGGCCTTATTCTTTTTTTTTTTTTTGGTTGCCGTGCTTGGACTCTGGGCCTGGGTACTATCCCTCAGCTCTTCAGCTCAAGGCTAACATTCTACCACTTGAGCCACAGGGCCACTTCCAGTTTTCTGGTGGATAACTGGAAATAAGAGTTCCATGGACTTTCCTGCCCAGGCTGGCTTTGAAACATGATCCTCAGATCTTGGCTTCCTGAGTAGTAAGGATTACAGGCGTGAGCCACCAGCCCCTGGCTCATAGGGCCTTATTCTTACTGGGCAGGTACTTTATCACTTCAGCCACACCTCCAACCCTTTAATTGGTTTTCGTGTGTGTGTGTGTGTGTGTGTGTGTGCGCGCGCGCGCGCGCTCTGGTAGTAGCATTTGAATGCAGGACTTTGTGTGCCTTTGGTCAGCTTGAATGAAGGACTTTGTTTGCCTTTGCTTAGCTTTCCTTCCTTCCTTCCTTCCTTCCTTCCTTCCTTCCTTCCTTCCTTCCTTCCTTCCTTCCTTCCTTCCTTCCTCTCTCACTTTCTTTCCTTTTCTTTCTCTTCCTTTCTCTGTTGTGGGGCTTCAGGACCTTGTCGTGGTCCCTGAGCTTATTTGCTCAAGGCTAGCGCTCTACCACTTGAGCCACAGCACCACTTCCAATTTTCCAGTGGATTATTGAAGATAAGGAGTCTCACAGACTTTCCTGCTCAGGCTGGCTTTGAACCATGATCCTTAGATCTCAGCCTCCTGAGTAGCTAGGATTATAGGTGTGAGCCATCGATGCCCAGCTTGGTCAGCTTTCTTGTTCATCGCTGGCATTCTATTACTTGAGCCATACTTCCAATCCAGCATTTTGTTGCTTAATTGGAAACATTTCTGCTTGGGCTGTCTTTGAACTTCAGTCTTCCAGGTTTCAGACTCCAGGGTAGCTGGGATTATAGGCATAAACCATCAGCTCTTGGCTTGAATTTATCTTTTATGAGAAATGGTTCAATGTGGGACATAAGCATGGTGATGGTATGAAGATGATATTACCTTTTATTGGCTACTCACTATGCTAACAGCCTTACTTGTATTTATATTTTTCATCATTTCAAAAATATTTTTCTTTCTTGCTTTTCTTTTCTTTTTTCTTTGCATTACTGAGTTTGTACTCAAAATCTTGTGCTTGCTGGGCAACTGCTCTACTAAACCACATCTCCACCCCTGTTTTGCTTTATTTTAGATTTTTTTTTAAGGGTCCGGTTGTGGGGCCTGAACTCTGGGCCTGGGCGCTGTCCCTCAGCTCTTCAGCTCAAGGCTAGTGCTCTACCACTTGAGCCACAGCGCCACTTTCGGCTTTTTCTTTTTGCTTATGTGGTGCTGAGGAATTGAACCCAGGGCCTCAGGCATGCAAGGCAAGTGCTCTACCACTGAGCCATCTTCCCAGCCCTATTTTAGATTTTTTTTAAGAGTCTTTTTTTTTTTTTTTTTTCAATCCTGGGTCTTGCCTTGGGCCGCAGTCTTCCTTCTATACCTCCCATGGAGCTGAAATTATAGATGTGGACTGCTACATCTAGCTTATTTGTTCAGATAGTGTATCAGAAATGTTTTTACTGAGGTTGACCTTGAACCGAGATCCTCATGATCTCTGACTCCCAAGTAGCTGGGATAACATGCTCAAAAAAGTATTTCTGGGTAAGGTACCTTCTGTTATAATAACCCACCCTTTTTCAAGCCTGGATAACCCCCAATTCCAATCCTGAATCTCTGGCCTCCAGAATGCTGTCTGCCTGATCCTGACCACAGCTGAAGAACATCCCCACTCCCAGTCATCATTGAGCTTCTGTGAATTGCCACCTGTGTGTATTTCTGACCTGTATAAACTCTGCATTCCTGGAGGTTGGACTGCTCTTGGTCCTCCTGGGACAAGGTAGTCATGGCCAACCAAATAAAAACTCCTTGTCACCTTTGCCCATGCCTCCATGGATTTTCTCTACCCTGAGGTCATTATACTGGGTGCTGGGGGATTTAGAAGTTAACAAGACAGTCTTTGCTCTCCTAGAAGGAAAGAGAAAAATAAGGGGCCAATTATAATACAGTGTGGCATGATAAGGGGTCTAGGTGTGACACCATGATGGTGTTTGGCAGATAGTGACATTTGAATTGAAAATGGAAGAGTAATTAGAAGGATGAAGGGGCAGCCAGCTTTGGTGACGACATATTCCAGGCAGAGGTATGGCAACTACACCACTGTCATGGGTGAGAATAAGCAGAACTAGATTTTAGACCTAGAGTTTAGTGATGTAATGGGGATATAATTGGGAAGGGAAGGGAGGCTTGGATCCTCAAGGAAGTTTCAAAGTTAACGGTTTGGACATTTTATAAGGGCAAAAGTTAAAGGATTTTGAGCAGATGAATGGAGAGTTGCATTTTTAGAGAGTTCTGTGAGGGTGCAGACTAGAGAATGGAGGTTATACAGTTGTTCAGGCTGACAAAGAGGGAAAGGGGTTAAGAAAGACATCCTTTAACTTCAGTAACTGAGCAGATGGTGCTGTTCCTGGGATGGAGAATCCAGGAGAAGAAGCAGATTCCACTACAAACTATGAATGTCTCCCATTTTACAAAGGAGGACACTGTGAAACTTGCCACGCTCAGCCAATGGACCAACTGCGATGTAACCTTTTAGTAATAGAAATCAAAGTTCACATTATTATTATTATTATTATGCCTTGTCCTGGAGCTCCTCTGTAAGATGACTGACCCTATGGAAGGGTTCGGCCTACAACTACTTTGAGCTGTGGTTTTCCTGTGAATGGAGGCCGAAGCCACAGTGGAGGAAGGGCGAGGTCAGGTTTGGAAAGGGGTACAGGAAGTTCAGCTCTGTAGCAGTCACCTCTCCAGTCTAACTAAGATCTGGCAGCTTTAGATGGGAGCCCACAGGGTGCCTGAGGCTCAGCCCCTGGATCCTGCTGCTCTCAAGGCTCTCTGACCTCCTCAGCCTCTTTCAGAGAGCCCCATTTTCCTTCCAGCGGTGAAAAGCTTGTAAGACAACCAGGGCAATACCCAAGAGGTACACTTGCATATCTATTAATCCCAGAAAGGCTTGTAGCCTCCTGGTAAGGCTTTAGTTTCTTCCTACCCTTTGGAGAGAACAGAAACACGGAAGCCTAGGGGGCTGTGAGTGATTTTTTTTCCCCAGCAGCTCACGGTTCTTGAAAGTTGATAGCATGTTTTCTACATCTTCCTGTGACTCCTGGTTCTTAGCACAGACAGCACTAAGCCAAGAGTGAACGTCTGTTTTAGACTGGTTCTGTGTGTATAGCATCTGTATCTCTAGATTCATGGTGTTGAAAATGTCCAAAGTCAGCACTACCAGAGATGGAATTGTCCTTAGACTCCACTCCTAACCTTGTCACAAGGAGTTCCACCTTCTTGAAACACATCTGTTCTAGAAGCAAAGCCCTCTGTTTGCCAGCATCCAAACCACTGGGATGCTAGTTAGAAATGCAGCTTCCAGGAGACTTATTAGATCCACAGACAGAGAATTTAAAGTGGGAGGTAGAGGGACTGACCCAAATTTGTGTTTTAAACAAGTTTCTTCCAATAATCCTTAGGCAGCATTGTCCTTGGAGGTTGGTGAGAATTTCTCCAACAAGAAAATTAAGGTCTAGGAGGGCCCTGACTGCAGCCGGGAACAAGAGTTGTCCCTACCAGCTCCCTTCCCCTTCCCCTCCCTTCCTCCTCCCCAGCAATGTTTGGTGATTGTGGTGCGGTTGCCAAGGGAACCAGGCTGTGCAACTTCCTGTCTTTGGTGGTTTTCCCCTCCTTGGCCTTATCTCAGCATCCGCCACCCAGTCAAGGGCCCTGCGCGGTCACGTAGGAGGGGAAGCTGGTGCCAGGAGGCATGTGGAGGCGTGTCCAGGATACCAGGCAACGTGCTGGCCCCAGGAGGGTAGAGATTAGGGTGTTCAAAAGGCGTGGAGGTTGCAGGTCTTCTGTGATCTGGGAGGTCTCTGGAGGTCTCCCCAGGGGGGAAGATGTGGAAGGAGGCAGCAAGGCCTGTCATGTCAGTACTCTGATATTTCAGCCTTTCTTGGTCCCTTCCCTCCTGGACTGAAGGAGTAGTCCCTGGTGTGTGCCCCTCCTCTGCTTCCTTTCTCCCCTCTTTAGGTCTAGGGTCTCCAGCAAGCTTTCCCCAGTGGTCCCCACTTTCAGTCTCACCCTGATGCCCCTGCCACACCAGCTCCATCCATTCATTCCCATTCCTTCTGCTTAGTTGTGCATCATCCTTCTATTTGCTTTTTTTTTTTTTTGGCCTCTTCCCAGCCCCAGTGGAGACCCTGGGGCAGTCTTTCAAAACAGGAAAATGAAAGGGAGTCTGAAGATAGAAGGAAAGCAGTCAATGGTTGGAATAAGATAATTCATGCATGTAAGTATTTATTTATATATGGAGTCTTATTTTGATTTGGGAAGACTTTAGGGCAGTGTGGGGAGTTCATGTGTTCTAGAAAGAAGGGACACAGTGAAACAACCTCTCAAGCATCCATGAAGCATAGAAAGTACAGGATCTGATTCCTGATGACTTTTATGTTATGTTAAGAACAAAGAACAACCCCTCCTATTCCCATAGCTGGGGGCAGAAAAAGAAAACAGCTCAGCTGGGTGAAGTCTAGCCTTATCTTTACCTCTCTCTCTCTCTCTCTCTTCCCCCCCCCATGGGCTAATCAACCTCCTCAGTGAGAAAACCAGCCCAGGTCAGGGGGCAATCCTCACCCAGCATTCTCTTGCAGCTCTTGGGAACAGAGCTTGGAGAGCTTCTTCCAAGCTGTTCTAGGTGGGATTATGGCAAAGATTTAGGCCACGGAGGATCAAATAGACACCCCTAAAATAGAAGCAGAGGAGGCTCAAGACAATGAAGGGTTGGTCCAGGGAATGGGGTGCAGGGTTGTAGACTGCAGAACTCCTAGGACTGAGCAAAGAAGAGAAAGCAGCGTCACTAACAAAGAACCACAAGCATGCAGGCAAGCTCTTCCACAGGAACATGGGAACTCATTCTAAATCCATGACCTGCCACCCCATTCCACTCCTGCCTTCTGTTCTTCCTCACCTAGCTGCAGTGTCTGCCAGCTCAGGGTTTCCCACTGTGTTTCAGATGGACCGGGGAAGGGGAGGGCTGGAGAGAGAAGCAGGGAACCAGCCTTCCTTTTCATTGTTCTTGGACAGGAGACATGCTTAAGTGAGAAGCCAGACTTTTCATTTGAACCAAAAGGCTGGTCTCCCAGGCTCCTCCCATTAAATGTGCTTATTCATCAGAGTCAAACTTCCTGTGTCTCCTGCCTCAGGCAGTAGGGTGAGCATCTCAGAGACCAGCAGGGTACTGACCAGGTGCCCTTGAGGCTTCAAGGCCCAGAGGGAGGGAAGGAGGGAGTGCCAGGACCAAGTCTAACCCAGGACTGTTGGACTCCGCTTTGGCTCCTCAGCTCCCACCCCTCTCCTGGCTCGGGGACTGATCCTGGGCCTGCAATCTAGATTTTGTTCTGAGTTTTCTTGGGCGTGGTGCCATGGCAGCAAGGGTCAGGCAGCTGGAGGTGATGAGGTCAGAGTCAGACTGAGAATGGGGACCCTTCTCTTCAAGCATCTTTAGCCTGTAAACCCTCTCCATTGCTCTCAGCCCAAGGCTTACTAGGCATTGAGAATGAGTTGCCCACTCCAAGTCTACTAGAGAGTGAAACCAGAGCTTGCAGATCAAAGTAGGAGAAGGAACAGGACTGCAAAGAAGCACACATAGAAATTAGAGGGAAAGGAAGGCGAGGGGATGACTGGGCAGAGTTGGCTGAGGGAGGGAATGCAGAGGAAAGACTCTTATCCCCCCACCGGATGTGGCTGTGCTTTTGAGCCAAGTTTTGCTGAGAAGGGAAAGGTTGCCTCCCTACTTATCAGGGCTGGAACCTAGTTTTGTGAGGCCTGAAGCTTATGCCCTTTAGGAAGTTCCATCTGAGAAAGCAATAAAAAAGCATTAATATAAAAAATAATTACAGAAATAAATATTTGGAATAGTAAAAGAAATAATAACAAATTATAAATTTTAAAAATCTGGAAAATAAAAATCACAACATATAGAAAGTTAACATTAGATTTGTATGAATTAGCTACCTAAAACAACTAAGAAACAGTTTTGTTGGTTTGTTTGTTTTTTGGTCATGAGGCTTGAACTTGGGGCTGGGTGCTGTCCCTAGCTCCTTGTTCAAGGCTAGCACGTTACCACTTTGAGCCACAGTGCCACTTCTGGTTTTCTGGTGGTTAATTGGAGATAAGAGTCTCAGAGACTTGTCTGCGCAGGCTAGCTTTCAACCATGATCCTTAGATCTCAATTTCCTGAGTTGCTAGGATTACAGGTATGAGCCAGTGCCTGGTCTGGTTTTTGATTTTTTTTTAAAACTCTACCTTTTTGATTATATAATTTTTTCATATGACAATGATTTAATAATTTTATTTTTGGTCGTGGGGCTTGAACTCTGGGCTTGGGCGCTATCCCTCAGCTCTTCAGCTCAAGGCCAGTGCTTGTCTCACAGAGTTTCCTGCCCGGGCTGGCTTTGAACCTTGATCCTCAGATCTCAGCTTCCTGAGTAGCTAGGATGACAGGAGTAAGCCACTGACTGGCACCAGCCTTAATCATTTTTTTGGGAGACAAAAATAAGTCTGTTTTCTAACATGGCTTGATCAACATTTTCATTATTATTGATAGGTTAAAATACTTCATTTCTCAGTTTGTTGTGGATAAAATCATGCCCTTTTTTTTTTTTTTGTTTCTGCTAGTCTTAGAGCTTGAATTCAGGGTCTGGACACTGTCCCTGAGCCTCTCTGTGCTCAAGGCTAACATTATACCACTTGAGCTGCAGCACCACTTCTGGCCTTTTCTGTTTATGTGGTACTGAGGAATTGAACCCAGGGCTTCATGCATGCATAGGCAAGCACTAAGTCACATTCCCAGCCCAAAACCAGACTCGGTTTTATGACTGTTGTCAAAATTTGGGCGAAATCTGCATTCAACTTCCTTCTCCAATAAGTTGTAGGATTTCAGAGCTTTGTTCAGTAATTAATCTTACATGTTGAGTTGATAGCACCCATTAATCAGTATGTCAGAAGCCCTCCTCTTAGCGTGGTAATAAGAGTTTCACATACTGTGTGTCAATGTATTTTATGTTGTCAACAAGAAACTTAATATTATCCCAATGTGTTCATGTGATTTTCTTCTCCTTGTTAAGTAAATTACCAAACAATCTAACTGCTTACTTGTTCTATTCAGTATTTGTCTATTCTGCTTACTGAATTACCTTTCTTGTATAATCTGAAAATTGTGGTAAAATTTGGTTCTGAATTTCAAAATAATTTGTACCAATTTCATTGCTTGTTTTTGTCACTTTTGTTTCACAAATGATTACTTTTTTTTTTTTTTTTTTGGTTGTGGGGCTTGAACTCTGGGCTTGGGCACTGTCCCTGCGCTCTTCAGCTCAAGGAGAGAGCTCTACTGCTTGAGCCACAGCACCACTTCTGGTTTTCTAGTGGTTAATTGGAGATTCTAGTGGTTAATTGGAGTCTCATGGACTTTTCTGCCCGGGATGGCTTTGAAACGTGATCCTCAGATCTCAGCCTCCCCAGTTGCTAGGATTACAGGTGTGAGCCACCAGCGCCCGGCATAAACGCTTAATTTTGTCAATTTTATGTCCCTTAATACATAAATTTAGTTCTGACAAAAGAGTTAGGCATGTGGATCAAGTGGTAGAGTATCTGCCTGGTGAACTCCAGTTCAAACCCCAGTATTACTACTACTACAAAAAAAAGAAACAACAACAAAGAAAAATAAAATATATTGCTAACATATGTCCAAGTCAGAAATATGTTAAATTTAATTTTATTAAAAAGTTCAAAGGAAGTTTGGCATGCATATTTAAGTTGTATCAACTTTTTGATTAAATGGTTTACATTTTCTTTTGTCTTCTTAAGTCTTTGAAAATATACTACAGGACCTTGGAAATATCCTTGTTATGTTCCACAATGAGGCAGGCAGAAGAAATTGCCCTATCCTGACCTCCAAGCACAAGTGTCCACCTCTCTACCACTGGAGCAGCTCCAGTCCTTTAGTCTGTTTCTGAGGTAGTATTTCCATAACTTTTCTTGGCTGTCTTCAGTTTGCAATCCTTCTTTCCCCACCTCCTGAGTCTTTGATTACAGATATGTGCCACCACCAAATGCTCAACTTATTATTATTAATAAATTATTTATTTTGTCGGTCGAGGGGCTTGAACTCTGGGCTTAGGCACCGTCCCTGCGCTCTTCAGCTCAATGCTAGTGCTCTACCCCTTGAGCCACAGCGCCACTTCCAGTTTTGAGTGGTTTATTGGAGATAAGAGTCTCATGGACTTTCCTGCCTGAGCTGTCTTTGAACTGTGGTCCTCAGATCTCAGCCTCCTGAGTAGCTAAGATTACAGGCGTGAGCCACCAGTGCCTGGCCAACATTATTATTATTATTATTATTGTGCGGGTTCTAGGGCTTGCACTCAAGGTCTTGCACTGTTTCTTAGGTTTTTTTGCTCAATGCTAGCACTCTAGCACTTGAACCACAGTTCCACTTAAGGCTTTCTGGTGGTAAATTGGAGATCAGAGTCTTATTGAATTTGTAGCTTCAACTCATGACCTTCAGATCTCAGCCTCCCAAGTAGTTAGGATTACAGGCATGAGTCACTGGTGCCTGGGCTAAATGTTTAATTTTGAATCCCCAGAATTGTGCATATTTACCTTGCACAGCAAAAGAGACCTTGCAGATATGATTAAGTTATAGGTGGTGAGATGGGAGACAATGTTGGATCATCCAGGGAGGCAGATCTGATTTAGTTCTACCTCTCCCTCCAGACTAAGATGTAACTACTTCAGAATGGCTAACCACATAGCCAATACTGGCTTTACAGATGTAGGGAGAAGGGCTGTGAGTGAGGAAGAATGAGCAGCTTCAGAAGTGAGATCCTTTCAAAGGAAGTAGCAGAACCTGTGCCAAACTCTAGAACTCAAAAATTTTTTTTTGCTACTAAATTTATAGCAATTTGTTACAGCAGTAGTGGCAAATGAGTATCTAAGACCTAAATAATTTTAAGGTTTTTTTTTTTTTGGGGTCCGGTCATGGGTCCTGAACTCTGGGCCTGGGCGTTGTCCCTCAGCTCTTCAGCTCAAGGCTAGCACTCTACTACTTGAGCCACAGCGCCACTTCTGGCTTTCTTCTTTTTGCTTATGTGGTGCTGAGGAATCGAACCCAGGGCCTCTGGCATGCAAGGCATGCGCTCTACCACTGAGCCACCTTCCCAACCCGTAAATAGTTTTAAGGTGAAGAGACCATCTCATTATACTTGGGAAAATTCAAGTGCTGAAAATACTTTG